GAGAAGGGGCTCCCCGCCCCTGGTCCCTACTCCACCCCGCTCCGGACTCCGCTTTGGAATGGCTCAAACCACTGTACGTACCGGCCGCCCCTCTGCCATTGTACGCCCCGGGGGTGCGGGTGGGCGGTGGTGCGTCCGTTCCTATCCGGGGAGATGGGGACCAGGAGTCGAGGTGGGGTCTTGTTTCTACCCTCACTACCCGTGTCTCTTGCTGCAATTCGGTGTCCTCGCTGGACAATTGGACTCCCCCACCCCCTCTCGCCCGCCCCAGTAATCCTGGGAGCTATTTCAGTTATGTTCGGGCTGAGGAACTTTGAGGGTTCGCTCTTGGAGGAAACATTTGTTTCTCTCGTCCGCACTTTTTCCGGGGCACATGAAGCCCAGGACCCCTTGCCGCAGTTTCTGTCTTCTTGGCTTGAAATTCAGTTGCTTCACAGCAAGGCTGGGGGCTGGGTAAGGGTCCTTGCTTTTGGGCTTGCCTGCTCCAGGGAGGAGGGCCCACCCCTCCAGATCCCACTCCTGCCAAGACCTGGGGGAGAGGCCCCCCTCCCTGTGTGACAGCTGCTGCACCCAGCCCCTGTGCCTGCGTCATGACAGTGGGTGTCAGGGGAGCTCTCCCTGTCTTTGGTGTTGACAGTGGGGTGTGGCAGGAGGGAGCAACTTCATCAGAGGCCCGTTGGCCATCCAGCCCAGCGCGCACATCTCGGGGAGGGGCATCTCGGCCATCTGGGGGTTGTCCTGGGCCGACACTTGGCGGGCATCTTCAAGGCTTCTGTCCTATAAATGGAGGGAGAAGCTGCTCTGGTGGGAAGAATCCTCCCTCCCTCTAATCCTAATCCGGTTGTCTCCTCTGGGGGATGAGTTTGTTCTTGTGGGTCTGGGGCTGGCTCTGGAAAGAAGGAATTCCTTTCCTCCCAGCCCTGCAGAGTGGCGTCCTTTTGTTACCCCATCTGCACTTGGGGGTAGGCCCAGGCCCTGCACTGTCCCTTCCTGAGAGGGGCACTGAGGAGAGCCCTGGCATCCTGCAGCCTGGGCACCTCGCCCTGTTGCCCGATGCCCCTCCGGCTCCTCTGGGATGGAGGGGCTTTGTGCACACCCAGGAGGGGTGAGCCAGGTAGTGCACACCTGGGCGTGTGCATGGCCTGCTGTGAGGCAGTACTGCTAGGTGGCTGGAAGTAGGTGCTAGGGGGTTATTGTTAGCTGGCTCAGGTTCCTTCCTCTTAACCCAGCTCTGGGCTCAGCTCTTCCCTGGAGGTTCTCCCACCCTCCTGCCTGCCAGGGAGGAGGGGAGGAGTGGGTCTCTGGGGCCCAGGGAGACTGGAGAAGGTCGGAGGGTAAAGGATTCCTAACCCCTTAAGAGATACACACACAGCCCCCCTTGGTTTAGGAAGAGACAAGGCAGACAGCCCACCTCTACCCTCCCAGCACCTCCTGAACCCTAGCCTTTCCTACTGTCCTGCCCCTGACCTTTGCCTCCAGGGCAGAAAAGGCTGTAGAAGCTGCAGAGGGGAGAAGGGAGGGTGAGTGACCGCAGGCTTTGGAAAAGGGGACAGAGATGAGGGGTGATGCCAGGACCATTCTACCAGAGCCGGCTCGGTGGGGGTAACAGGGACAGGGTCATCAGGGCTACTACACCTTCCACTGCCTTCTCCACAGGACTGGGTGGAAGCTGGGACCCGAGCCCTGGGGCTCCAGCCCGGCTCTCCCTGAGTGTCTGGTGGGGACAGCTCAGTTCTTCCTGGCACTGAACTAGAGGGGGAGGAGGGCCAGAGTGAGGCAGCCGATGACTCCCCCAACCGCTGGACGTGGGGAAGTGGGGTCTGGGGTGGGATAGAGCCACAGACCTGGGCTTCCTGTTCCTGTAATCTCTGGGTGGGGGTGTCAGTGAAGTCCCCAAGGCTGGGGGTTGGCTGTGATGGCGGTGTGGGGGCTGCTCTGAGGCACAGGAAGGAGCAGGACCTGGAGGCCAAGGTCAGGACCCAGCGCAGTATGGAGTTTGTGGGGGCAATGTTAGCCACCCTGGAAGGAGCCCGTTGGTGTGGGTGGAGGTCTCCCAGCGCCTGGACCTGCCTTGCAGCCCCTCCCTGAGAATTCTCCCCTCCCCCTTCCCCTCTGCCAAGGGTTGCAGGAGAGGCTTAGCTGTGGCAGGAGACCTTTTGGGTCTTGCAGGGCCCTGGACCTTGCCCCCCCCCCCGCAGTCCCCTTCTCATGCACTAGAGAACAAGGGGTGCACAGGACGTGGCTCCCCATCTGTCCCCCACCCGTCTGCGCCGCTCACGCCTCCACCCGCTCCCAGACGTCCAAGAATGTGAAGCACGTGGATGCCCGTAGTGGGGGGAGGGGGAGATGCTTATCAGCCGGCCGCTGGGCTAGGGGCCTTCTTCCGCCGCCGGGCTACACCCGGAGCCACCCCCACCCGCTTCCCAGGAGGAGGAAGGGCAGCACCGAGGGCCCAGAGCCCCCTCCCCAGCCCTCCCCGGGGGCTGTTTAGGGAGCTGCAGAGGAGAGGGCGCCAGCTGGATTGGGAAGGGGAGTCGCTGGCCGGGGGCCCGGCTGATTTCCTGCTGATCTCCTCCAGGAAACCGGCCCCTTGTGCGAGCCTGCGAACGAACGGCTCTGGGGCGTGGGGAATCCGGAGCGCTCAGCTCGCCCGGCGGCCAGGAGGGAGGTGCGGGGGAGGGGCGCCCTGGCGGCGGCGGGAGGGGACGCCTGGCTTCCTGGTCCGCTTCCAGCCCTCCGCTGGGCGCTGGAACTTTGAGCTGAGAAGGTGTGGTTCTTCTCCCGCCTGAGCCCTTCTGCAGCTGGAGAGGGATTTGTGGGCCAGGGCCTCTGGGTAGGGAGGTTAGGGGAGAGGCCGGGTCGGGCGGCCTCTCCCTGCCTCTCCCGAGTGCAGGAGTTCCTGCTGTATCCTAACTCGCGCAGAAACTGAGGGGCGCCTGGGGTCCCTCACACTTCTGCCTTGGGTCGTTTTACCTGGTCTTCCTAGGCTGCGGGCTGGAGGCCTCGGCCCCAAGCTCTGGATTCAAAGGGCAGAGCCAGAAACCTCAGAGCTGGGTTACCTGGGAGAAAGGTGGGGATATTCTCAGGCTGGGGTGTTGCAGCCTCAAGGGCCTGCGGTCAGTGGCCGGAAGGGAGGTGGGAGGTGTCACCGAGTCCGAACTGTAGCCCCTGCGTGGGTTGTCTCCCCCGTCTTGCCAAAGATCATTTTAAAAAGCACTTTCCTCCAGTTCTGCACACACCCTCTGGACTTTGCCTTAGCTCCCAATTTCTGTGTGCCTTTCCCGGGCCTTAGAGCCCTGCCTCTCCCCGGGCCCCGCCTCCCGGCCTCCACTCTGCTCCCTGCCCCCTGCCCCCTGGGTCCTGCCGCTGCTGCTGGTCTGGCTCATTTTTGGGGTGGGGCCTTGGGAGGAGGCGGGGCCCAGGGCAAAGGGTGGATTAACAAGGGAGGCCAGTGCCTTCTTCCTCTGCTTGTTGGAATGCTGAGCGGGGATTCTAGGCCATGGCTGCCCCCCCCATGTCCTTGACACCCCCCCCCCAGTCTGGATTGTCTATTGTTACTGTTTTTACGTCTTGGAAAAAGTTAGCACAACAAAGGGCTTCTTTGTGGCTCACCCCTCTGCCTCCTGGCCTCACCCAGGCCCCCCAACCCCAACCCCCCCCCCCCCCAGCAGCTGTCCTCAGGCCTCCCTGCCTGTCTGATTTGCTTGTCTGGCCTGGTGAGAATGAGATGGGGGGGAAAACCAGGGCGGTTGGGTGTGGGGATGAGGAGCTGAGGTTCTGGGAGAGGTCAGTGAGGAGTGAATCTGTGGACCAGTGGGGGACAGCATCTACTGTCCCTTTGCTGCAGGCTGGTCTCTGGGCAGGGCAGGGCTGTCAGGCTGATGTGGGCTCTGGTGCCAAGGCTGTTAGCCTGGGTCTCGGGCGTGTCTGCGGCTAAGGGGTGACGCGCGGCCGTGAGGTGTTTGAGCCAGGAGCTGTGGGCTGGGGCGTGGAGCTGGGCTGTCAGGATCGCATCCTCACCCTTCCTAGGCCTTGCACAGGTGGAGGTGGCCAGGGCTGCAGGAGAAGCTGTACGGTTCTCATCCAGCACACTGCACCCCCCACCCCTGCCAGCCCATCCCTGTTCTGCCTGGGGCGATGGCAGAGAGCCAGGCACTGGGGAGGCTTTGGTCAGTGGGGGACAGCTCCTGCTGGCTAGGTCACCCCTCCTGGCTGCCCTCTGGGGGCTGAATTAACAGGAGGGGAGGGGTGGTAACCCGGACATACTGTTGAAGCCAGACAGACAGAGCATTGATGGGAACAGACCCCCCTTTGTCATGCTGCCTCCCCTGAGGCAGGGGGCACCCAGGGTGATGGGCTTCTAGGGCTCTGTCCCCAGGTGGTCTCTCCACCTATCTCAGGGGACCCCCACCTGCTGTGCCCCAGCCTTCGGGATTCTTCTTTGTACACCCGCCTGGGTCTGCCTGGGTCCTCGGCCTGGGGATTGTTTGGGTGGAGGAGGGGCCCTGGCTGTTGGCAGAGGGGGGTGGAGGGAGGGGCAAGCGGAAGCAGAGGGGGTGAGGGAGTGGCTGGCTTTGAATATCCTGTTGACCCCCATTTCCTCTGCCCCCAGCTTGTGTCTTCTCTCCTCCCTCCTCATCCAGCCTTAACTCCTTCCTAACTTGGGGGAGTACCGGCCAGGCCACCCGAGGCAAGGCCTAAGAATAGGGCCGGACCACCTCCTCCCAGGCAGAGCCCAGTACACAACACACACCCACATCTGATGGTTTATGATCTCAGCTTTCTGTGTTGAGGACGGGGTCCTGGGGAAGTAGACGGGCGTGATGGGGTCCCAAGGCTTCCCCCAAGCTTGACTGGGGAGTCCCAGCTTTCCCGAGACCGTCCCTGCCAGCAGTAGTGAGGCTGGGAGAGGCTCTGGAGGGAGACCCTGAGCAGGGCGGGGCAGGGCATCAGGGATGGCGCCTGGTCTCTAACCGCCCCCTCCCTTTCTCTCTCTCCAGCCATTGAGACCCAGAGCAGCAGTTCGGAAGAGATAGTGCCCAGCCCTCCCTCGCCACCCCCCCTCCCCCGCATCTACAAGCCCTGCTTTGTCTGCCAAGACAAATCCTCTGGCTACCACTATGGGGTCAGCGCCTGTGAGGGCTGCAAGGTGAGACTGGGGACTCTGGGAAGGGCAGTCTTGCTTAGATAAATGGGATGTCCCCGCTGTCACGCCCTGGGAGAATTCGGTTGAGGGCAGGGGCTGTCCCTGATGCTGCTGCTCTTGCTTGTGTGTGGAAGTTGCCAGCAGCCTTGAAGGAGGAGGGGGTGCCAGCAACAGAAGCTCCCCCATAGATGAGCAGGGCTCCCCCCAAACCAGAGGCCCCCTCCTGCCCGAGCTCCCCCCGCCCCCGTCTCCATGCTCCAGCCGGCAGGGCGTGCTCCGCTCTGCCACCGCTGCCCAGGTTGCCATGGTGAGCTGGCTGCCGACCGGCTCTTGGCTGGGGACCCAGGAGGCCTGCCCCCGGCGGCCCTGCCTGCACCTCGCCATGACAGCCTGGCAGGCGGCAGTTAGGAGCGGAACCCTGCCTCGGCTTCCCCTACAGGTGCTGAGGCTGTGGGCTCCCCAGCGTCTGCATTTTTCCCGTCCTCATGTTAGGCCCCAGCAGCTCTGGGCCTGGCTGGTCCTCTTCCTAGGACCAGAGCCTCCACACCAGTTTCTCTCTCTAGATATTAGGGTTTGGAAGCTGTACAGTCTTGGGGCTCTGGGCTGCCCATCAGCTACCTGTCGGTGTGGGACACAGGTTCAGGGCACAGCTCAGGACCTAGACTGTGTGTGTCTGCCTGCTCTGTCAGGTCGTTTCTGACTTGTTCCTCATCTGTGTCCCTGGGGAGCCTGGGTGTGGGGCCTCTGACCAGCCCGGGTCCATCTCTGAGTGCTTCATGCACGTCTGTCCGGGTGGTGACTGGGTCTTGCCACCTGGCTCCTGAGCGTGTGTGAGTGCATGAGTGCCTCCGTCTCTGGCCAGCTCACGTGTCTGAGTCCAGGCTGTGGGCTCCAGATTCCCGCCTCTGTCCCAGCCAGCCCCACGGGTTACAATTCCTGACTCAGCAGCAGCCCGAGGTCCTTCTCCCTAGAGGGAAGGGGTCAGGTGTGTGGATGGAGGCTGGGGGAAGACTCCTGCCCACCTCGTAGCGCTGAGGCAGTAGCGGGCTTCTCCCAGGGGTGACTCATCGCCCCATCTTTTCTGGCCTGCTCAGGGGGGTGATGGGCGAAGGCTTGGGAGCAGCCGCTGGCCTGGCCCACTTTCCCCAGCTGCGACTGCCGGCTGGGCGCCACTCCCGCTGTGGGTGTTGGTGACCTGACTCTCCCCTCTCCGTGCCCAGGGCTTCTTCCGCCGCAGCATCCAGAAGAACATGGTGTACACGTGTCACCGCGACAAGAACTGCATCATCAACAAGGTGACCCGGAACCGCTGCCAGTACTGCCGGCTGCAGAAGTGCTTCGAAGTGGGCATGTCCAAGGAGTGTGAGTGCCACGGGCGGAGGCCGGACTGGCCGTGGGTGGGGCCCGTGGTGCTCCTGCAGGCCGGGCCGTTGGGCCCTGTGGCTGTGTGTGCACGTGTGTCTGAGCATGCGTGCTGGGGCGTGTGGCTAAAGCTGCAGGGACCTGTGAGATTCTGGCTGGCTGTGTGTGTGTGCAGGTCCAGTGTGCATGTGCGACTGGCTGTGTGTCCTTGCATGTGCGTGTGTGTGTTTTTGCTCCCAGGGTGGCCTTCTTCCGGCCCCTGCTTGGCTTCCCTGAGTCCTTTCCGAGCGTGTGTCTTAGGGGAGAGGCCTGGGATCCGAGGGGTGCTGGGTGGGTTTGGAGGGCTTTGCATAAGGATTGAAAAGCCAGGATGTGGTGAAGCTGAAGATCTGGAGTTTGAAGACAGAATTGGGACTTCTCAGGTCCCAGAGAAATGGGGTCTTCCGTTTGGGCTCAGCTGAGGCCTGAGGGAGGGAGGAAGGGAGGGAAGGGCTGGACAGGGAGACCCTCTTGTGTTGAATCATGGGTGTTGCCGTGGTGACCAGTGATTGATGATGTCAGAGATAAATGACGCTGACAGACGCCTCCTTGTCTGCGTGGCCGTTGCCATGGAGCCCGAGCCTTGGGGGATGAAGAAGGGGGAGGGGTCTGCAGGACCCCCTAGCCCTTTGTGGGGAGGGTAGTGAAGAGGGAGGTGGGGAGGGGGCACTGCGGAGAGTGGTTCTGACTCACAGGCAGTAGCCCAGACAGGAGCAGAGGGACCTGCAGTGTCCTGCTTCCTCTTGCCACAGGAGACTCGGTTGCCTTGTCCTGCCCCCGGGAAGCCATGGCTTCCTGATGCAGAGTGGGTGACAACGTGGGACCCACAGGCCCGGGACCCTTCACCTAAGGCCGTCACCTCCTCCTCCCTCTGCGCCCCCTTCCGCTCTTTTCATCGCAGCAGGATCAGGGTGGGGACCCTCTCTCCCTCCCACCAACAGCCCCCCTTCCCTCCCTCCTTCCCTTCTCCCGGCTGGCTGCTCTGTGCCCCGGAGCTGAGCAGCTGCCATTTCAATAGAATTAAAGCTTCCGAATGATAAACGTCTTGTCACAGCTGCAATTTTCTCTTCCCAAATTATCCCCCCACTCTCCCTCTCCCTCTCCCTTCTCTCCCCTTCACTTTATTGAATTTGCAGAATCGACATGAGTGATCTCCAAATTATGCCAGCGCCCCCCCACCCACTACCCCCTCCCCGGGCCCCCACCCCCACCTCCCTTCCTCCCTCGTCAGCAGCCGCCACCACTGGCCCTGTGAGTGATTGTGTGTCTGGGATAATCGGCTGGTAACGACCCCATCGCTTCTTTAAAGCCGAGCGGTGTGTGCGGCTCAGCGCCCCCGGTGATTTGTCAGCTCCCCGGCTAATGGGCCAAGAGACTGTCCTGTCGGGGCCCCCACTCTCATCCTGGGGGACCCTACTCCCTAGCCTATCCCAGGCGCCCCCAGGGACTCCTGCCGGGAGGGCTGGTGCAGATCCTACCTGGGGGCAGACCAGGCACAGAGGAGGGCGCTGCCCTCGAGTCCCTGGGGTGTGGAATGGCTACGGGGCAAGTGTGCGAGGCCACTGCAGGACTGTGGGTGTGTGCATGTGGGGCGGGTGGGGGTGGGGGCGTCTGGCTGTGTGTGGTGTGTATACCGTGTATGCGTGTGCATGGCCAGCGCCGTGACCTCCTCAGCGGGTGTCAGTCTGGTGGGAAGAGCTCTGGACAGGGCCGGGCTGTGGCCACAGCTGTCCTCCAGCCCGGCCCCTGCCCTCCACAGCTGTGCGGAACGACCGGAACAAGAAGAAGAAGGAGGCGCCCAAGCCCGAGTGCTCCGAGAGCTACACGCTGACGCCGGAGGTGGGGGAGCTCATCGAGAAAGTGCGCAAAGCGCACCAGGAGACCTTCCCCGCCCTCTGCCAGCTGGGCAAGTACACTACGGTACGGCACCCCTCCTCTGGCCCCACCGCCCTCTGCGGGGACCTGTGGGGGGCGGGGAAGTCCACAGAGGGCCTCACTCTCCCCCTCCCCCAGAACAACAGCTCAGAGCAGCGCGTCTCCCTGGACATCGACCTCTGGGACAAGTTCAGTGAACTCTCCACCAAGTGCATCATCAAGACCGTGGAGTTTGCCAAGCAGCTGCCCGGCTTCACCACCCTCACCATCGCTGACCAGATCACCCTCCTCAAGGCTGCCTGCCTGGACATCCTGGTGAGGATCTGTGCCCTGGCCTCCCAGCCATGCGGCTGCTGCCTGCCCTGGGGCCCCACCTCTTCCCGTCCCCGTAGTTAGTTAACCTCCCCGCTTGGCTGCTTGCGTCCTGCTATGCACAGCCTCCCCACTCCCCCACACGTGCGTCTCCCGGCCTCACCCCGTCTGTCCAACGGCCCTTCCATCCATCCGCCCACTGCGTCCGTGAGATTCACTGCGCACCTTGCTGGCTGTCGGGAACACTGGGGTGTTGGCCACCACCTCCCCTCCCGAAAGCTTCCGTGTGACAGGGGCAACACATACGTGAGCAGAGGTCGCGTGGAGGTGGGGAGGCCGTGGCCGCCTGCCCCCGAGGAGGCGTCCTGGAGGAGGAGGTATCGAGGGGTTTGTAGGAGAGGCACGGGGGGTCCCTGACTTGGGTGCAGGAGGCGGACAGATGGACGCACGGCCTGCTGCTGTGAGACCTGCCTGACTCGGGGGAAGGCAGAGTAGTTGGTGGAGCCCTGCATGTGGACAGGCAGGGCAGGATGTGGGGTAGTAGGGAGACTGTCAGGACCAAGGCTGGAAGGAGGACTCTGCTCTGTCGCCCCGACCGGGCCTCAGTCTGCTGGTTCCCTCTCGGCCGCCTCTGGGTGCGGAACCTGGGATCTGAGCAGTCTGACGTTTTCCTTCTGTGCCGCGGAGGAGCTGGTGGGGTGGGAGGTCTCGGGTTCTGCACGGGGGCCTCCCAGCCCCAGGCCCCAGAAGCAGGAGGCACAGTCAAGCAGGCATGTATTCACTACCCGCTCCCATGTGGCTCGTCCTGGAAACTAGCCCTCAACCCGCCACGCTCCGCACCTCCTGCAAACTCTGGCTTCCCTTAAACTCCCAGGCCCGCCCGCACCGCCAAGGCCCGCAGCTGCTCTCGCGGGCGGGGCGGCTGTTAATTAACACCAAACTCGATTCCGTGCCGCATCGCAGGGACTCCACGGCCACTTGTGGCTGCTGGCTGCCGATGGGGATGGCGCCGACCCCGATGCTTTCCATCAGGGTAGAGAACTTGGTTGGACAGCGCCACTCTGGCTGCCTGCCTGGTGGTCGTCTGGGGTGCGCTGGGCCTGGAGTGCTGGGGCTGGATCCCTACACCTGTGCGTCTTCGGCCTCCAGATCCTGCGGATCTGCACGCGGTACACGCCCGAGCAGGACACGATGACCTTCTCGGATGGACTGACCCTGAACCGGACCCAGATGCACAACGCTGGCTTCGGACCTCTCACCGACTTGGTCTTCGCCTTCGCCAACCAGCTGCTGCCCCTGGAGATGGACGATGCCGAGACTGGGCTGCTTAGCGCCATCTGCCTCATCTGTGGAGGTGGGCAGGGGCTGGGGCCAGGCCCAGCAATGGGGTGCAGCCTCCGGAGCTCCTGCGGGATGCTCAGTTGCCGCCCGGCCTGGTCCCTCAAGGGGAAACCAAGGCCCAGAGTAGCGAGGACCAGGGACCTGAGCTCTGCCCCTCTGTTCCTGGGCATCCTCCTTCTGGGGGGCTAGGGCTGGGGGCTGGAGTCAGACCACCTGGGTTCAGATTCTGCCTGGTGGTGGGTGTGACCTTGACCAGATGGCTGAACTTGTCTGAGCCTACATTTCTACAAAACGGGGCCAGTGCTGGCCTCCTGGAGTCGATGGGAGGCTAGGGGAGGTGGTGAACAAGTGTGCTCAGGGAGAGACCCACGGCTGTCAGATGCGCCACTGTTGTGATGTCTGCCCTTTGCTGCCACCAGCCCGAGGCCTGCCTGGGCATCTCCTCTCCTCCAGGATGGCGCTGCCTTGTGCTCGGGGGTCCCACCCCCACTGTGGGCCGCCCCTCCACCTGCAGCCCCTCCGTGCTCACATTTAAGAGCCTTTGTCTGTCCCCGCCGGCAGCCCAGGGACCCCCCCAGCCCTGCCTTCTGGGAGAGGCCTCTGAGAACCCATGCAGGACCACTGTTGGCTGTGGCCTGGGCAAGTGCGCCCCCCAGTGTCCGAGGCTGGAAGTGCAGCTGCTCAGGGGGTGGCCCTGTCTTCCTCAGACCGGCAGGACCTGGAGCAGCCAGACAGGGTGGACATGCTGCAGGAGCCGCTGCTCGAGGCGCTGAAGGTGTACGTGCGGAAGCGGAGACCCAGCCGCCCCCACATGTTCCCCAAGATGCTGATGAAGATCACCGACCTGCGGAGCATCAGCGCCAAGGGTGAGGCTCCCGGGCCGGCAGGGTTGCTGCACCCCCATCCAGTGCTGGGACCCTGTCGCCATCCCTGCTAGACCGAGGCCCTCAGAAGCCCCACCCCTGTCCCTGTGAGCTCTGCCATGGCCACTTCACCATTGCACGGCCCCTAGCAGGTCACCTGACAGCCGCCGGCCTTAGATTCCCACCTCGGGAGTCGGGGGTGGGGTGTCACGGAGGCGTCTGCAGGACGAAGCACCAAGGTTGGGCTCAGATCCACCGCCCTCCTGCCGCAAGCCCCTGGACTTGGGTTCTGTCACAGAAATGGGTCCCAAAGGAGGAGCTGTAGGTGCTGACCTTGCTACCCCAGTCTTCCCAGAGCGGGGCGTGGCCGGCACGCTGACCCTGGCCTTTCCCTGCAGGGGCCGAGCGGGTGATCACGCTGAAGATGGAGATCCCGGGTTCCATGCCGCCACTTATCCAGGAGATGCTGGAGAACTCGGAGGGCCTGGACACGCTGAGCGGACAGCAGGGGGGCGGGGGGCGGGACGAGGGCGGCCTGGGGCCCCCGCCGGGCAGCTGCAGCCCCAGCCTCAGCCCCAGCTCGAACAGAAGCAGCCCGGCCACCCACTCCCCGTGACCGCCCGCGCCACATGGACACAGCCCTTGCCCCACGCCCCGGCTTCTCTCTGCCTTCCTGCCGCCCATGCGACCCCTGCCAGCCCTGCCCTGCCTGTCCTCCCAGACAGAACTGGGGGGGTGGGGCAGCGGCTCTCTGGACAGAGGCCTGGGTCCGGGATGGACCGCCCACCCCTGCAGCCTGGGCTGACGGCAGGGGCAAAGCTGTGAACTGAGTGAGGCCCCCGGCCCGGGCCTGGGGCTCGCCCCCGTCGGGACAGCCGCCTGCCCGCCTCGCCACATGTTCATCACCAGCAACTTCCAGGACCTGGCCCCCGCCCGCCCGACTCACAAGCCATCGCCCCCGGCTGGGGCCCTCGCCTGCCTTGGTTGGTGACAGCGGGGTGGGCCGGGGCGGGCTTCCCTGTACATACCCCGCCGTACCAACCCCAGGTATTAATTCGCGCTGGTTTTGTTTTTATTTTAATTTTTTTTTGTTTTGATTTTTTTAAATAAGAATTTTCATTTTAAGCACATTTATACTGAAGGAATTTGTGCTGTGTATTGGGGGGAGCTGGATTCAGAGCTGGAGGGAGGGGCCTGGGGGAGGGGCGTGGCTCAGAGGGGCTCCTGCTCTCCCCCGCCCCCCAGCCCTCCTCCGCCTCTTCTCCTCGGTTTTCTCCTTCAAACTGTGAAATATTGACGTCCCCAGCCCACCGGGCCCTCCTTTGTGCCCTGTCTCCCTCCGCCTGACCACTGGGTGGGGGCAGTTTCCGGCTGCCCAAGAAGCAGGGGCTCCTGGCCTACCCACCTGCCTCCGCCCGGGGACAAAGCCAGGGCCCCTGTGGACACGCTGTCTCCGGGCGGAGCTGCCTCCCTGTCAGGACCCACGTCATCCAAGCCCCCCAGCCCCCACTGTGAAGGGGCCAGCCAAGGGGACTGTGCTGCCCCCGCCCCCTGCCTCACAGCCACCAGCACCCCACGGGGCCCCCTCTCACACACACACACACACACACACACACACACACACACACACACACACTGTGGACAGTAGATGGGCCCACACTTGGCCTGAGTTCCTCCGTTTCCCTGACCTGCCCCTGCTCCCCACCTGCCCCACACCTGTGCCCCCTCCTTGCCCCGCAGGACGGGCCTACAGGGGGTCCCCCACCCTGCATCCCTACACCCCTGGGCTGGGGGAGCCGGCTCTGCCCTGCCCTCCTCGCCCCGGGGTTGGGGTCTCATCCCCCTGGAGCCCGCTGGTGCACCTGTTACTGTTGGACTTTCCACTGAGATCTACTGGATAAAGAATAAAGTTCTATTTATTCTACCTGTGCCTCCGCCTGCTACCTCCGCCCTCTCTGAGCGTCTGTGTTCAGGGCTCGGGAAGGGGTCCCAGACAGTCAGATGCGAGCCGGGGGCCGAGGGCTTGGCCAACGCACTCCCTCCAAGCTGCCCTCCCAGCCTGCCTCACGGTGCTGGGGTTGGTGGGGACCCTGGATAAGGAGGCAGACCCACCCCCCGGAGCTCTCAACCTGGGGATCACCACCACCCATGTCAGGGAGCCCCGGTGTGGGCATGGGGAGGACGGAGGAGGAAAAAATGACCTCTTCCCCCAAGTCCGAGGCAGGAATCCAGCCCCAGTTCCTGGTCCTTAGGCCAGAGCCTGGGTCTGGCCTTAGTGGCAGAGGGATTCTGTTTTGGGAGTGACCACAGACAACCTTCATGGCATGAGTGGCAGACAGCCCTGGGGCTGGGGTCAAGGGTCAAGACGGCAGCTTGGGGTGGCCTAGGAGGCCAGGCTGCCTGTCCACCTGTCTGCAGGCTCCTGTCCGCCTCTCTTGATCTTCAAGGCCACGCTGTGGGCGGGGAGCAGTGGATGAAGTTGTAGAAATCCTGGATGCTGCTGGCTGGGAGCGTGTGGCAGGCCCTGGACGGCCCCCAGAGACTGGCTCTGCCCGTCACTCACATTATGTGTCATGGCCCACAGAGGGCAAGTGCCCTTGCCCGGGTTCACACAGCAAGGTGGTGGCAGGTCAGGGCTCCCCCCTCCACCCCAGGGCTCCTTTCCTGGATGGCTGAAACCCCAGAAGTCGTTTCAGAAGGATTATCAATCACTAAGGCCAAGGTGGGGCCGGGCAGAGCAGTGTCCTTCCTCTGGCAGCCGGCAGCCATTCCCACTTGGGCCACCAGGTGGCAGCAGTTCTTTGCATAACTCAGGCTGGAGGGAGCGGCTGGAGGCGTTTTTCATCTAACCATATTTTCTTTTTAAAAATGACTTACTTGAAAGGCAGAATTAGAGAGGGAGAGATGGATAGACATTTTCCATTGCTGGTTCATTCCCCAAGTGCCAGCAACAGCCAAGGTTGGAGTCAGACCTAAACCAGGAGCCAGGGACTCCATCTGTGGCTCCCACGTGTGTGGCCGGGGCTCAGCCACTTGGGCCATCCTCCACTGCCTTCTCAGGCGCATTAGCAGGGAGCCGGATCGGAAGTGGAGCAGCTGGGACTCGAACTGCGGCTCACACGGGATGCCGGCGCCCCACGCAGCAGCCTCACCCTCGCCACCGTGACGGCCTCCGCTAAGCGGCACTTCCTCACAGTCTTTGCCACACTTTCAGACATTAGCCGCCGCGGCACCGGCACCGCACAGGGATCGCGCACGTGCTGGGTAAGCCAGTACCTTGGCGCTCGCTCCTCACTCTTGTTAACGAATGCACTGGGATTTTTAAAAAACGATTTATTTGAAAGGTAGAGTCACAGAGAGAGGGAGAGAGAGGGAGAGAGACAATCTTCTACTTGCTAGTTCATTCCCCCAAATGACTGCAGTAGCCAGAGCTAGGGCAGGCCAAAGCCAGGAGCCAGGAACTCCACGTGGGTCTCCCACATGCGTGCAGGGGCCCGAGCACCTGGGCCAACATCTGCTGCTTCCAGGTGCATGAGCAGGAAGCCTTTCAAATGAATAAATAAAAATAGGATAAAATAAAATAGAAACTGGTACATTCGCTGCATTAAAAAACAAACATGCAAACAAACAGAAAGGAATCCCAACCAAAATTGCTGGCGTTCGCTGGGCTGCGGGCTCAGGCAACGCTGGAGCTGGTTCACCACGTCAGTGTCCAGACTCGCTCTACCGCTGCGTGTGACGACGCCTTGTACAGATTTTTATTTTACTTATTCGAGAAGCAAAGAGGCAGACAGAGCTGCCCTCTGCTGGTTTGCTCCCCAAAGATCTGCAATGGCCGGGGCTGGGAGCTCCTTCCCGGTCTCATCTGAGGGCCCCCGGCCCTGCCTCCTGGGGTCTGCAGCCGTGGGAGGCCAGAGGCAGGCATTCCGACCCCCGATGTGGGCGTCGCAGCCTCTTCCCGCGCGGCTGAAGGCCCACCCTGTGGGGGTGACAGCCCTTTACCTCGGAGGCTGTGTTGGCATTCGGAACTCCTGTCATCGAGTGCCAACACCCCCACCCCATCACTATGGCAACCAAGGCTGTGGCTGCCACATCTTCCAGGCGCCCCCCGGGCTGCGTCTTTGCTGCTGGGAACCTGGGGCTGGAGTCTTCCTCCCTGCCCCACAGCCCGCCGCCGCCCGCCGCCACCCAGCAGCTTTTTCCACGTTGCTGCTGGTGACGTTTTGAGATTCTCTGGTGTGACAGGGAGTCCTGTGCGCGTGCGCAGTCCCCCGGGCAGCAGCACCCCCCTTGCTACAGGTTAGATGCTGATGGCTCCGCCTCCTGAGCTCGGACAGTTGTCCACATCGGTTCCCCCCTCCCGCCCCGCCGAGACCACTGCTGTTGAGTCTGATCACGGAGGGCTCAGGAGGGCTCAGGGAGACTGACTCAGCGGTGGGGCTGAACGCAGTCTGGGGAGGGCACTGACCCCAGACGATGGGAATGTGGCACTGACGATGGGAATGTAGCCAGGCTTGGGACAGAGCTCGGAAGCCTTCCTGGAAGAGGTGACCCCCAGCTACAACCCTAAGGGGAAAAGTTAGCCCGGTGAGGGGCAGAGGTGACGAGCAGGTCGCAGGGTCAGAAGTCATCAGCTCTGCCTTTTAACTGTTTTCTTTCTGGTGACACCGGGATGGGCTCAGGTCAAAGCCAGTTCGGGACCTGGAGGGCAGGAGCAGGGAAGGGCAGTTTGAAAGCCGGGAGTGGAGAGTGCTGGTGGGAACTGGGGTGGCCGAGGGGCTGATGTGCTTAGGCGGTGAGACCTGGGAGGACCGGGTGACTGATGAGCTGGGCGCAGTGAGCTGGGTGGAGGGAGGTGCCGCTCACTGACCCCGGGGTCTAGGGCACTGCAGGTGCTGGGTCCCTCTCCCTGCTCAGCACCACCGACTCCACTGGCCTAACCGCCCCACCATGTGCACTTCTACCTCAGGCCACCTGCACCTGCTATCTCCTCCCCTGAGGGCTCTTCTTGGGACAGCTTCATGGCCAGCCCCTGGCCACAGCCATTAAAGTGCCACCTCCTTGGAGATGTTGCTTTCTCCCCGCACTCTCACTGCTTCCTGTGAGCCCCTTGCAGGACAGGGGTTGTCCCCCTACAGCCACATGCAGATCTGAGCCCTGGGAGTGCGGCTGGCCTGACCCGAGACACTCTGTCGCTGGGAAGACGCACCAGACCTGGGAGGCTGGGTGTGGGTACAAGAATGGCAAACAGCCCCTTAGTACTTTCCGATGCTGAAGTGCTGAAATGATAACATTTTGGATATGCCGTGTTAGAGAAAATATACTTGGGAATTTATTTAATCTGTTTTTTACTTTAAAAAAAAAAAAAGATGTTTATTTGAAAGGCAGAGTTAAAGATGGGAGTTGGAGGGGGAAAGAGAGAGAGCGAGAGAGAGAGAGAGAGAGAGCTCTTCCATTCGCTGATTCACTCCCCAAATGGCTGCAATGGCCAGGAGCCAGGAACTCCATCTGGGTCTCCCATGTGGCTGCAGGGGCTCAAGCACTTGGGCCATCTTCTGCTGCCTTCCCAGGCTCATTTGCAAGGAGCTGAATGGGAAGTGGAGCAGGTGGGGCTCGAACCAGTGCTCACGGGATGCTGGTGTCACAGGCGGCGGCTTAGCCTACTGTGCCAGGACACCATCCCCGTTTTCAGTTTTTTAATGTGGCTCATGAGAAGCTTGATGGCCCCTGTGCCCCCTGCGGTTCCTGTCCCACGATGCTGACACACAGCTTGCGGAATGAGTGCGTCTGGGAGACAGCTGGGTGTGCACGGCTGAGTGGCCGGCATCAGGGAGATGGCAATGGCCTGGGGTCTGGGGACAGCTTCAGCTTCTCGCCCAACACATACTTACTAAGCACCCACTATGCGCCCTGGACGGGGAGGGAGTGAGGCCGAGCGGCAGGGGAAGGGCTGTCCCTGGGGAGGCACCGTGCCCTGGCATCCAGCGAGCAGGGGACGCCCGCCCTGGCAGCCTCGGCTTTCTTCCCAAGTGGGAGCAAAAGGCAGGCTGGCGCGTGAGCCGGGGCGGGACAGGGCTCCCCAGAGAGGCAGCTCCCGGTAAAGGCAGCGCACGCCCAGCCCTGGGGCTTCTTAGGGACAGTCCTGTGGTTCACAGCCCACACAGAGCACCCTAGGAAGGGACTGGCCTTACCCCGATGGCTGGGGGGGGGGGCCTGAGGGGGGTGAGGAGTGGGAGGGGACATCTGGACTGGGACAGAACTGGGATGAGACAGCCGAGGCGCCGCCCGCGGTCCCACAGTGGCCGAGGTCCTGGGCACCCCCACTGAGGTGCGGGGGAGGCCGATGGAGTGGGGGGACAGGCAGGGGACTTGGGGCAGCTGGAGGGGAGCGCAGGGCCAGGAGCACCTGGTTCTGAGGCTGGAGGGGATGAGTTTATAGACTGGGAGGCCAGCGGCGGACAGGGCGGCTGAAGACGGAGGAGAACCACCGTCTGCCCTGGCCTCTGGCCCCAAGCTGTCTCCACCGCAGAGACCCAGGCGGAGGGGCGCCTCCTCCCTCCCTTCCTAGCTGGGCCCTCTCAGCGGGGGAGCGTTTCCGGTGACGCCCTGCCGCCCAGGGAGGGCTGATGGCTGCTGCCGACCTCGCGCCCGCCCCAGCCACCCGCCCGGGATCTAGCGGAGAGCGCAGCCGCGGAGCTCACGAGGATGTGCAGGTGTGCACACGCGGAGCTCACGAGAACATACACGTGCACGGGTGCGAGCTGCACGCTGAGGCACAGGTGCACGCGCATGCGCAGAGACCTCGCACAGGGGTCACCCGTGCACCGGCACCCGCACGCAGCCCACCGCGTACCGCTTGTGCTTGTGTGCACACTCAGACCCAGCCCGCGCCCCCTCTGCAGGGGACAGCGCCGGGGAACGCTGGTGTCACAGCTGTTTTTGTCCCCAGTAAAACGGCCAGGTCACCAGCGGCCCTCCTTCTGTCCACTTCCTCTCGGCCCGGCCTCCTCCCTTCCTGCCCGCATCAGCGTCCGGCACCCGCCACGCGCTCTCCGCGCCGCTCCCCTGCCGCGCGCCGCCTGCTCTGGCAGAGCCCTGCTCGGGTTCCCGCGGAAGCCGCTTCGTGCTCCAGCGGTGTGGACGCAGGAGGCGGGGATCCCGCCGCTAGATGGCCAGGTCCTGGCGGACGGTGGCCAGGGACGCTTTGCTGCGCGCGCTGCCGCCCTCGCCGGCGCTGGCCGGCGCCTGGTGCGCATAGGCGGGCGGCGCGTACGGGTCCGGGCCAGCGCCCGGGGCTGGCGGGGCCGGCGGGGCTGGCGGCCGAAGCAGCTTCTGCGCCTCCTCGTGCGCGCGGTTGCAGCGGTTGTCGCGCTCCCCAGCGCGCGGGCGGCCCTTCGAGAGCAGGTGGCCCAGCTCGGCCACGCTGAGCAGCGCCGAGAGCAGCCCCACGGCGAAGTAGAAGAGCAGGAAGACGGTCTTCTCGGTGGGCCGGCTCACGAAGCAGTCGACCGTGTGCGGGCAGGGCGGGCCGGCGCACGCGAAGTGCGGGGCCACGCGGAAGCCGTAGAGCCGCGCCTGGCCGCCCAGGAAGGCCAGCTCGGCCAGCAGGCGCAGCGCCACGCTGAGCAGGTAGCAGCGGCGCGCGGCGCGGGCACGGGGGCCGCGGGGGCCGCGCGCCGCCTCCGCCGCCACCGCCGTCTCCGTCTCCGCCTCCGCCTCCGCCGCCGCCGCTGCCGCCTCCGCGCCGCCCGCCTCCTTGCCGGCCTGGTGCATGGAGTAGATGACGAACAGCACCGGTGGTGCCGAGAGCAGCAGGATGTGGAAGAGCCAGAAGCGGTAGTGCGAGACGGGGAAGGCGCGGTCGTAGCAGGTTTGGCGGCAGCCCGGCTGCAGCGTGTTGCACACGAACTGCTCCTGCTCGTCCTCGAACACGGCGCCGCCCACCGTGGCCAGCACCAGGATGCGGAAGATGAGCATGACCACCAGCCAGAGGCGGCCCACGAGCGGCGACTGCAGCTGCACAGCGTCCAGCAGCGACCCCAGAAACGCCCACTCGCCCATGGCGCTGGGGACACAGCGGGCTGGAAGGCGCGATCAGGGACCCCCGCGTCCTCTGGGGGCGACCTGACCTTCTCAATCTCTAGGGCGAAAGATGGGGAGTGGGTAGGGCAGGCACTGAGCGACCCCAGAAGCTGGGGTCGGCCAGGGTCTGCGTGTAGTGGGTGACTCTCCACTAAGGGGGGGTCCCTCCTCTCTGGGGTCTGGGGAGGAGCTCCACCCTGGCGTCAGTCACACACCCTGGCCTGCTTCTGGGACCCTGTGGTCCTCCAGGGAACAGTGGGCCGCCATGACTGGCACCGAGGAAGCACACAGCCAGCAGGGCCCTTAAGGTGCTGGGTGCTCTCAGGGGGTAGGAGTCACCAGCCAGCACCTCCCGCCCAGGCCTCCGGACCCCGGGGAGGGGGGGAGGGAGGAGCAGTGGCAGCCTGCCTTCCTCAGCTCCTTCTCCCGGCACGGAGCTCCCCTGAGGGTGGGGGACTGACGCAGAATGAGCCCTCCCTCCTCCACAGCTCTCACAGGGCCTTTGGCCCAGGTGTCTGCTGTCACTCCTGCCCCAGTGGAGGGATCACGGCCTGGCCCTCTCCCACCTCCACCCAAGGACTCGCTGCTTCCAGCCCCCAGGCCCCTCCACCCCCCCCCCACACTGTCCCAGGCCCCCAGCGGCCCCCAGCCCCTCACTGGACCCCTCGCACCTTGGGCTGCAGCCAGGACCTCAGCGTTGAGCCAGGGGCCTCGGGAGCCAGCTGGGACCTGTTGCTCCTGGTCCCTCTTTCATTTTCCCGTTTGGGTTTGGCCGGGCTGGATGACAGGATGGGATGGCTGAGAGGGGCTAGCTCTCCCCCTTCTCTTAAAGGGACAGGGTGGCCCTGGTGGACGGCGCTGCCCTTGGGAACAGATCCAGGGCCACGCCTCTTGATGGGCTCTGCCAACTCTCTCTTTCCATCCCCCCTCCCACCCCATCCTATAGCTGTTTCCCTCTGGAAATGGAGGAGTACCCAGACCACATGCTTTCTTTGGGGAACAAGGGGGTGCAGGGGGGGCGCTTCCCCCAGCAGACCCCGGGACCAGGGAGACTAGCTCGGCTGCGAGTGACAGGCCCTTTGGAGGGTGGGCATCCATGCTGCGGTGGGGGTGAGCTGGCATTCGAGGGGCAGGAAGCAGCTAAGAGCCTCTGGTTCCAGCTCGGCCAGAACTTGACCTTGGACAACCATTCTGCTCTCTGCGGCTAGATCTCATGGCTTGTGACCCAAGGAGGCTGGGCCAACTCACACCCGCGTTTCTTTTAGCCCTGCATCTTAGCGCTTGGTCCCAACCATGTTACAGAGAGCCCAGAAAACAAGACAGCAACAGTAAGGTGTTAAGAGCGGCTGGCGGGTCTGGCGCAGTGGCACAGCAGGTTGAGCCGCCGCCTGCGACACCAGCATCCCATATTAATTGTGCCAGTTGGAGTCCTGGCAACTACTCAGCTTCTGATCCAGCTCCCTGTTAATGCGCCTGGGAAGGCAGCAGATGATGGCCCAAGTGTTTGGGCCCCTGCACGCATGTGGGAGACCTGGAAGGAAGAAGCTCCTGGCTTCGGCCTGGCCCAGCCCTCACTGTTGTGGCCATCTGGGGAGTGAACCAGTGGATGGAAGACCTCTTCCTCTCTCTGTTATTCTGACTTGAGTAAGCACATCTTGGGCTTATCACAATGAAGATGTTATTTCCTAACGGGAAAACAAAGGGCGAGAAGGCTCTGAACTGAGTCCCTGCTCCTGCTGTGGGTGTGGGAGAGGCCGTGCTGTGGGAGGGGAGCCAGGACCACCGATGGGGATCTGAGTGTCCAGGAAGGGACACTCCTGGGTTAGAATGCTTAGCTTGTCCCCTCCGCCTTCCTAAGGAGTCTGCCAAATGCTCACACAACTCACTCCTGAACCTGTGCACCTGCTGGGCCAGCCCCCTTGTGGTGTGGAGCCCTGCCCAGCCATTAGCTCCTTCAGTCCTCTGCGCGGCCCGCAGGAGGGCACTGTTCACTGGCTGAGCCACTTGCCACATCTCACAGCCAGTGAACAGATCCTGCCCCATGCCTGAGAGCCCCTACTAAGCCCCTGTCCCGCCCCGGCTCACGCGCCAGCCTGCCTTTTGCTCCCACTTGGGCCCTGTAGGCCCCCAGGGACCTGCGCTGTTTTCCATCTGCTAGTGACCCCCACCCTGCCCCGCCCCACTGTCAGGAAGGGGTGGGAAACATGCCCTGCCCCCCTGGCTCAGGGTCCCGGCCCAGAGTGGAAAAACGCAAAGTTAACCCCTTTTGGGAGAGCATGAGGATGGGGAGGAGTCCCTCGGGAGTGGGCTGGGGGGGGGGGTGAGGGGTAGGACATATGTCCCGGATAAATTACAAAGGGAAAAGCACATGGGGGTCCCACGGTCCAAAAACAGGATGTGGGGTGGGGGCCCTGCTGATCTCTGCTCGTGGCAAAGCGGCTGCCTTCCCTGGTCCCCAGCCACAGGGGTCCTGGGTCACACCTCATCTCCCCCATCTGTGCAGAGATGGTCCCCGCCCCATCCCCCCGTGGCCCCCGCCGGGCCAGGCCAGCAGCCCAGCCTGGAAAAATCCCATCCAACCTTTGTCTGGCTTTGGGTGTGGGGGATGGGGAGGGAAGGGGACTGAGGTGTGGGCTGGGGCGGACAGCCGACGGTCACCCTGGGCGGTTCCCAGCCCGCTGCCACCAGGCCAGACACAGGAGACTCCACAATCTCTAGGGCCCGTTCCCCTTCCCAGATAGCGCCACCCGGCTTGGGAGGTGTCGCTGATGCTGCCCAGAGCCGGTGCACGCGACCCCATTCTTGGCCCTGCTGGAAGACAGGCTGGCTCCGAGGCCGCCCTGCCTGCCCCAGACGCGTCCCCCCGGCCGGGGTTTGGAGCCTTCGCGCAGCACCACGCGGGACGCTGAAGGCGGGCCAGGGCAGAGCAGGGGCGAGGGTGGCCCGTCGCGGGCTCTCTGGCCTTCTGCGCCCCCCGCCCCCCGGCTGGCCGCACGACCTCTGACCCGACGCCTGGAAACTCTGGACCCAGGACCTCGAGGTCGCCGGATCGCCCACCCTAGGCCTCAGCCCGGCGCTAGAACAGAACCGCGGGCTCCGCACTAAGGGCGCCGTGTCAGCCCAGCGCCGCCTCGGGCTCTAGGACAATGTGGGCGTCTTGGGCTCGGCCGCAGCCACAGAACCACCATGCAGCGGCTCGCCTCGCTTCTCTCACGCGGAGGGCTGCCGTTGGGAGCGTGACGGGCTGGTCACGTGACCAGCCTGCTCGCACGTCATTGGCCAGCCGCCGTGGCCACGCCCACCGGCAAGGGACGCTGGGAAGTGTGGTCCTCATGATGGGCGTCCTCGCGTCCAGGAGGGGACCACAGAGCCCTCCGGGTCTCAGGTGTTGGCCAGGCCCCGCCGCCCCTGCGCACCTCCTCTCAGGAATGGGGAGGCAGCCCCAGGCTGCCTCCTCCTCTTGTCCCCAAGCCCTTCCAAACAAGCGCCTTCTGCACCCCGTGAGGTCCCGTCCTTGGGCAGCGAGGCTGGGGCGTGGGGGGTCTTCATTACCTTCAAGGAGAGGCCCCCACCACTCTCTTTGCTCCATTTCACCCGTGTTTCGGTTGTGCCTGTGGCAGCCAGACAGTAACTCTGCCTGAAGGTGGCCGGGCTCTGCAGTGGCCCCCTCTGAGCAACCCGGAGTCCCTCCCTTCGCGTCCTTGAGAGCCCGGCTTGAGTGACAGGTGAGAGGGCTGCTGTGGGGTGGAGGGAGGAGAGGGAAGGGTCTCGGTCTGCAGTCTTTCCCTGCAGCGCTGTGGTGCGGGGGTAAGCCACCGTGTGGGCAGCCTGCATCCCATACTGGGGTGCCTGGTTGAGGCTCCGCCTCTGCTTCCCACCCAGCTCCCTGCTAACGCACCTGGGGCGGCAGCGGAGGATGGCCCACGTGCTTGGGCCCCTGCCACGCGTGTGGGAGACCCGGACGGAGCTCCTGACTCCTGGCTTTGGCCTGGCCCTGCCCTGGTTGTTGTTGGCGAATCTGACCACTTGGGGGCAGTACTGAGACTACTCTGAGGACCCCGCCCTCCCAGCATCTTTCAGCAAGGACCACACAGGGCGGAAGTGGACAAGGTCAGCTCGATCACTTGCTGGCGCACCATAGCAACTCCTTCTCACCACAGTTCTGGGGGCGGCAAGAATCGTTCCTTTAGGCTGGGCTTCCTTCTCGCCTGCCTGGAATAAGGGGTAAGATGCTTCCTGGGCCGGCCGCATCCCACCGTGGAGCGCTGGAGTTGCAGCTCCGCTCTGCCTGATGCCACTTCTTGGGCGATGGCGCCCTGGGAGGCGGCGGGGGATGGTCCTTGCTGCCCCCATGGGAGATCTTAATGGAGTTCCGGGCTCGTGGCTTTCGTCTGGCTCTGCCCCAGCTTTTGTGGCATGGGGGAGTGAACCAGTGAATGGAAGATCCTGCTCGCTTTTCTCAGGGTCACTTTGCCTTTCAACTTAAATAAAAGCACCCATCACGGTTAAGCCTCCGCCTGCAGCGCTGGCTTTGCCTGCGATCCAGCTCCCTGCTAGTGTGCCTGGAAGGAATTTTTTAAAGCAATTAATATGTTTCCGTTCCCTTGCTTCCACTTCCTGTCTAGCTCCCTGCTGATGTACCTGTGTGATGATGATGACCCAAGTGCTTGGTCCCTGCCACCCATGTGGGAGACTCATAGGGCGTTCTGGGTTCCTAGCTTTGGCTTGGCCCAGGGCTGCCTGCTGGGGACATTTGGGGACTGAATTAGTGTGGACTGGTCCTGCGAGCCCGCGCACTGCCGGGATGGTGGGGCGCCGGTGTTCAACGAGAGGCACCGGAGACAAGTTTCGAACATGTCCGTTTATTGACCACCAAGCACACCTTTTACACAGCAGGCAGAGGGGGCGAAGCTAACTCAGGGCAACACTAATTCTATGGGAACTGTTTACCTGTTGGCAGTTACAAGGCCCTTCAACAAGCGGAGTGAGGGACATGCGCCTGGGGCTCCCGCTGCCTGCCAGCAGTCAGGTCATAGGGTCCTTCCCGGGAGGCATAGTGTGCCCGCCCCTCAGCCTCCTGCATGGGCAGGGCAGGCAGTCTCCCAGCCAGGCACAGCATCACCCACAAATCAGTGGATGGAAGATCTCTGTCTTCTCTCTCTCTCTCTCTCACTTCTGTGTCCCTCTGCCTTTCAAAGAAATAAAGCTTTATTTATTTATTTTTAACAAAGTTAGACAACAAGAGAGAGACAGAGACAGAGACAAAGGTCTTCCTTCCGTTAGTTCACCCCCCAAATGGCCGCTATGGCCGGCGCTGTGCCGATCCGAAGGCAGGAGCCAGGTGTTTCCTCCTGGTCTCCCATGGGGTGTAGGGCCCAAGCACTTGGGCATCCTCCACTGCACTCCCCGGCCACAGCAGAGAGCTGGCCTGGAAGAGGGGCAACTGGGAGAGAATCCAGTGCCCCAACCGGGACTAGAACCCGGTGTGCCGGCGCCGCAGGCAGAGGATTAGCCTATTGAGGCACGGCGCCGGCCAAGCTTTTTTTTTTTTTAAGAGTAGTTGCTGGGGCCGATGCTGTGGCATAGTGGGTTAACGCCCTGGCCTGAAGCACTGGCATCCCATATGAGCGCTGGTTCGAGAGCCGGCTGCTCCACTTCCCATCCAGCTCTCTGCTGTGGCCTGGGGTAGCAGTAGAAGATGGCTCAAGTCCTTGGGCCCCTGCACCCACATGGGAGACCCAGAAGAAATTCCTGGCTCCTGGCTTCGGATTGGCGCAGCTCTGGCCGTTGCGGCCATTTGGGGAGTGAACCAGTGATGGAAGACCTCTCTCTTGCTCTCTGCCTCTCTTCTATCTGTGTAACTCTGACTTTCAAGTAAATAATAAATAAATCTTTAAAAAAAAAGAGTAGTTGCTATTGTTGGCCAGCATTTACTTTTTTTTTTTTTTTAAGATTTATTTATTTGAAAAGGAGAGGCAGAGAGAGAGAGAGAGAGAGAGAGAGAGAGAGAGGTCTTCCATCTGCTGGTTCACTCCCCAGTTGGCTACAATAGCCGGAGCTGGGCCAATCCAAAGCCAGGAGCTTCTTCCAGGTCTCCCACGTGGGTGCAGGGGCCCAAGCCATAGCAGAGAGCTGGATCAGAAGAGGAGCAGCTGGGACTAGAACCAGCGCCCACATAGGGTGCCAGCAGCTTTACTCCCTATGCTCCCGTGCCGGCCCCAGCATTTACTCTTGAGCTGAGCTAATCCACTTGTCTTATATGAAGTTCTAGAATAGGAGGACCTAACCTATAGTGGTGGAAATCAGATCAGTGTTTGGGGCACGTAACTTATCGGGGTGATGGATATGCCTTCTGTCTTGACTGTGATGGTGATTGTGGGGTTGGCATTGGGTGCAGTGATTAAGAACCTGCTTGGGACACCTGCATCCCACATTGGCGTGCCTAAGTTCAAGACCTGGCTTCTCCCTGGGTTCCAGCTCCCGTTAATGCAACCCTGGTGGGCAGCAGGTGATGGCTTCTGGAGCTGGGTTCTTGCCATCCTCATGGGAAACCTGGATTGAGTTCCTGGCTGGTTGCAGACTTTTTTGTTTTGTTTTGACAGGCAGAGTTAGTAAGACAGTGAGAGACAGAGAGAAAGGTCTTCCTTCCGTTGATTCACTCCCCAAATGGCTGCTAAGGCTGGCACTGTGCCTATCCGAAGCCAGAAGCCAGGTGTTTCCTCCTGGTCTCCCATGTGGGTGTAGGGCCCAAGGACCTGGGCCATCTTCCACTGCACTCCCGGGCCACAGCAGAGAGCTGGACTGGAAGAGGAGCAACCGGGACAGAACCGGCGCCCATATGGGATGCCAGCACCATGGCACCATGGCGCCGGCTGTTGTTGCAGACATTTAGGGAGTAACCATCTGCACCTTTCAGAGTTCTCCCCTGCCCTCCCCTTCTCCCTCCCCCCCCCCACCTCCACACTGGTCATCCTATTGCATTTATGAAATAATCATTTGGCTTGCTCTTATCAATTTGAGTTTGTAAAGTCTGAAAGAGGTTTTTTCTTTCTTTCTTTCTTTTTTTTTTTTAAGATTTATTCATCTGAAATGCAGAGCTAGAGAGAGATCTTCCACTGCTGGCTCACTCCCCAAATGGCTGCAACAGCCAGTACTTAGCCAGGCCAAAGCCAGGAGCTTCTTCCAGGTCTTCCACGTGGGTGCAGGGGCCTCTGCTGCCCTCCAAGGCACATTAGCAGGGAGCTGGATGGGAAGTGGAGCAGCTGGGACTAGAACCGGCGCCCATATGGGATGCCAGCACTGCAGGCGGAGGTTTAACGCACTACATCATGGTGGCAGCCCCTGACAAGGATTTGCTTTTTTAAATATTTATTTATTTGAAAGGCAGAGTTAGAGAGAGGCAGAGAGAGAGAGAGAAAGAGAGAGAGAGAGAGAAAGGTTTTCCATCCGCTGGTTCACTCCCCAGATGTCTGCAATGGCCAAAGCTGCACCAATCTGAATCCAGGAGCTTCTTCTGGCCTCCCACGTGGATGCAGGGGCCCAAGCACTTGGGCCATCTTCTACTGCTTTCCCAGGCCACAGCAGAGAGCCGGATCGGAAGTGGAACAGCCAGGACTTGAACCGGCACCCACGTGGGATACTGGCAGAGCAGGTAGCAGCTTTACTGGCTATGCCACAGCACCAGCCCCTTCCCGTGAACTTTTAAAAAAAAGATTTATTATTTGGGGTACTGGGTTGGGGGGAGAGATTTTCCATCTGCTGGTTTACTCCCCAAATGGCTGAAATGGCCAGGCTGAAGAGAGGGGTCAGGACCTCCATCTTGGTTTCCTGCGTGGGTACAGGGGCACAACACTTGGGCCATCCCCTGCTGCCTTCCAGGCACGTCAGCAGGAAGCTGGATCAGAAGTGGAGCAGCTGGGACCCAAACCGGTGCTCCAATATGGGATGCTGGCGTCACAAGCAGCAACTTAACTGGCCTCACAATGCAACTTTTTTTTTTTTTTAAAGATTTATTTTATTTGAAAAGCAGAGTTACAGAGAAAAAAGAGGCAAATAGATCTTCCATCCTCTGGTTCACTCCCCAAATGATCCCAATGGCCAGGGCTGTGCCAGGCCAAAGCCAGGAGCCTGGAACTCCTTCTGGACCTCCCACATGGATGCAGGGGCCCGAGCACACCGGTCATCCTCTGCTGCTGTCCCAGGCACATTAGGAGGGAGCTAGATTGGAAGTGGAGCAGTCGGGACTTGAACCAGTGTCCATATGGGGTGCTGGCACTGCAGGCGGTGACTTAACCTAGTACCCCACCAACTTTTTTTTAAGATTTATTTATTTGAAAGGTAGAGTTAGAGAGAGGAGAGACAGAGATATTCCATCTGCTGGGTCACTCCCCAAATAGCTGTAATGGTTGAGGCTGGGCCAGGCCAAAGTCAAGAGGTTTTTCCAAGTCTCCCTTGTGGGTTTAGGGGTCCAAGGACATGGGGCCATTCTCCACTGCTTTCCCAGGAGCATTAGTAGGGAGCTGGACCGGAAGCTGAGTAGCTGGGACTCAAACTGGTGCCCATATGGGATGTTGGCACTGCAGATGGAGGCTTAACTGCTGCGCCGTAACACCTGCCCCTCAACCCAACTTTTAAAAAAATTTTTCACTAATCAAAGATAGAGGAAAAATTATTTTAAAATATTATGTATTTATTTGAAAGCCAAGAGTTACAGAGAAAGGGAAACACAAGAGATCTTCCATCCGCTGGTTCACTCCCCAGATGGCCATAATGGCCAGGGCTGGGCCAGGTCAAAGCCAAGAGCCAGGAGCTTCATCCAGGTCTCCCACACTGGTGGCTGGGGCCCAAACACTTGAGCCATCTTCTGCTGCTTTTCCCAGACCTTTAGCAGTGAGCTGGACTGGCTTCACTGTTCCGTGAAAACGCCGGCCCCCTTTCTTAGCTTTTTCTGGATTTATTTACTTATTTGAAAAGAGATCTTCCATCCACCATAGTTGGGCTGGGTGGAAGCCAGGAGCCAGGAATTCCATCTGGGTCTCCCACCTGGGCCATCATCTGCTGCCTTCCCAGGCACATTAGCCAGAAGCTGAATTGGAATTGCAGCAGCTGGGACTTGAACTGGCGCTCCAGTATTAGGATGCTGGTGCTGCGAGCAGAGGCTTGACCTGCCACAGTTCTCCACTAGAACTTACCGATACCATCAAGGAGCTGATGAGATTATCAAAATACTTGCTAACTAGGGAATCTTTTAAAAAAGATACATCCATATTTAAAACTATTTTACTAACTGATTGAGTGTGGAGGAGATTAAGAACTTAATACCTATGTATAAAATCCTGAGAGGGCCAGTGCTGTGGTATAGCAGGTGAAGCCACAGCCTGTAGTGCTGGCATCCCATATGGGTGCCGGTTCAAGTCCCGGCAACTCCACCTCCAATCCAGCTCTCTGCAATGGCCTGGGAAAGCAGTAGAAGATGGCCCAAGTGCTTGGGCCCCTGAACCCACGTGGGAGACCCAGAAGAAGCTCCTGGCTCCAGACTGGTATAGCTTCAGCAGCTGCAGCCATCTGGGGAGTGAACTAAGGGATGGAAGACCTCTCTCTCTCTCTCTTCCTTTCAAATAAATAAAACTTTTGGCCGGTGCCGTGGCTCTGTAGGCTAATCCTCTGCTTGCAGCGCCGGCACACCGGGTTCTAGTCCTGGTCGCAGCGCCGGATTCTGTCCTGGTTGCTCCTCTTCCAGTCCAGCTCTCTGCTGTGGCCCGGGAGGGCAGTGGAAGATGGCCCAGGTCCTTGGGCCCTGCACCCCATGGGAGACCAGGAGAAGCACCTGGCTCCTGCCTTCGGATCAGCGCGGTGCGCAGGCCGCAGAGGCCATTGTGGGGGTGAACCAATGGAAAAAAAGGAAGACCTTTCTCTCTGTCTCTCTCACTGTCCACTCTGCCTGTCAAAAACAAAAAACAAAAAACAAAAGCAAAAACAAAAAGAAAAAAAATGAAACAAAAAAAACTTGAGGGCTATATTTTAGAATAAGAAAAAGGGTAGGGGCTGGCACTGTGGTGTAGCAGGTGAAGCCGCCGCCCACAATGCCAGCATCCCATATGGGCGCCAATTTGAATCCCAGCTGCTCCACTTCCAATCCAGCTCTCTTCTGTGGCCTGGGATAGCAGTAGAAGATGGCCCAAGTCCTTGGGCCCCTGCACCTGTGTGGGAGACCTGAAAGAAGCTCCTGGCTTTGGATTGGCACAGCTCCGGTCGTTGAGGCAATTGGGGAGTGAATCAGTGGATGAAATACCTTTCTTTCTGTCTCTCTGCACCTCTGTTTCTCTATAACTGTGCCTTTCAAGTAAATAAATAAAATCTATATATATAAAAAAGAAAAAGGGTATAGTGTGTGTTTGAAATAAAAAAAGGGCAATGTGATGTTTAGAGCTAAAATTTATTAAAGTACAAAATTGCTGAAATTAAGCTAAATAGGAAAACATAGTAAATATTTACAAAAACATGGATAACATCACACAAGTCACACACATGAAACAGTGCAAAAAGGTCTGAAAGGCTTACACGTTGACACGTGGCGATTTCCTTCCTCATGGATGTAGCGCGCTCCTTTGAGCACAGCGTCAGTGTAATACACGAGGTCTTTGTTGCCGTACTCCTCTGGAATGCAGTGCGCCCTAGAAATGTGTTCTTTCAGAGGCAGCCAAAGGGGACAAGTCAGGAGCTGAGGCAGTCATACAACTGGCCTGGTTTTCTTCATCCTATTGACTGTGTTGAAGTTATACAGACATGACTACGATGTTTCTCTTTAACCTCTGATGATATTCAAAAGATACAAAGAATATGAGCAGTTTTTCATCATCTGAACAAAAATTCAGCACTTAAAAAGGCTGAACAGCATCTGGGTACCATAAAGTTCTATTTGATGGAAAATTACTTCTAAAGCTAAGATAAAACAAATAATCACAGTGTATCTCACAGTTGCTGAAAACAGGACAGGCAGGTGACACTTTAGTGAGAATGCTCCAGTTTTAGCTTAGTGAATGGTTAATAAATTACTTTATGCTCAAGTGATCACATAACTAACTCTAGAGTCCAGAACTTAAAATGAGACTTTAAAGACAAAAGAAAACGAACTCAAACATTGATAAAGTACAGAAGAAAATAATGTCCATGAGACTGTCACTATCTGGACAGTATTATAAGAAGCTAAAGCACCTGGGGAGGGAATTCAGAGCTTCGGTAACTTTAAAAGCAGTCTTGGGCTTGACAAGACCATTATTTAAAATAATCACCTCCCATTTTAAAACAGATCATCTTCATCTGACTCTTCAAGGTACTTTATAGGTTTCTTTGCCCTGCTGGATTTTGCCCGAGGAGCCACACTTGAGTCTAAGTCGAGAAGGAAGTCATCATTCTCCCCTTTGGATTTCTGAAAAAGAAAAGCTCAAGCAATGTGTACACTGCAAACCTGACAGCATAATTTCACTGTAAAAAATAGAGCAGCAGATTATAATTCAAGGAGTTTTCCATCTTCTACTAACTAGTAAGAAATAAATCAAAGGCTACCAATCCTCCCACTGACGAAATACGTGGTATATTTAACTTTATTACAACTACACATAGTAAAAACTAATGGATTGTGAAATTTAAATTTATTTCCTTAAAAATACACCAAATTACAGCTTGCATCTAGCACAGTGGGTGAGACAGCTGTGTCCCACCCTGAAGGGCCTGGTTTTGATTCCCTGCCCTGGTTTCTGACTCTGGCTTCTCACTAATACAGACCCTGGGAGTCAGTGGTGATGGCTCAAGTAATTGGGTTCCTGCCACCTGGACTTTGGCCCCAGGGCAGCCCCAGCCATTGTGGGCATTTGGGGAGTGAACTTAGGATGAGGGCTCTCTGTCTCTCAAAAACAAAACAAAACAAAATCACTATACCAAATTAAGAGCAAGAGGTTAGTTCATGTGTTTTAAAATGTGCACAGCACAAGGAATAACTAGGACTCACCTTGCTTGTGACTGCTTTGGAAACAATTTTCTCAAAATTAGAATCAGAATCGTCAGAAGTTGACGGCTTCCTTTTGCGCTGAGTCTTCGTTTTGGCAGGTTCAGGCTTTTGAGAGACATCAGAATTCAAGGCTGGATTCTTTTTGGTTCCTTTTGGTGCAGCCCTTTTTTTGGCACCAGTAGTGGAGGTGGAAGACTGACCTGTAGGTCAATAAGGCATTGGATCAGTGTGAGTCTTAGCTGAATTTTTCTCATTATGAACTTTCTTCAGCAACCTAATGACTGTGCACATTTAATATATGAAAAGACAATACTGCTGAAGATACACTACAAAATCAAAACAGAGGGGCCGGTCCAGTGGTGCAGTAGGTTAATCCTCCGCCTGCAGCGCAGGCATCCCACATAGGCGCCTGTTTGAGTCCTGGCTGCTCCACTTCCGATCCAGCTCTCTTCCGTGGTCTGGGAAAGCAGTAGAAGACGGCCCAAATGATGGGGCCCCTGCACCCATGTGGGGGACCGGGAAGAAGCGCCTGGCTCCTGGCTTCGGATTGGCACAGCTCTAGCTGTTGTGGCCATTTGGGGAGTGAATCAACGGAAGGAAGATCTCTCTATCTCTCCCTCTCACTGTCTGTAACTCTACCTCTCAAATAAAATAAATAAAATCTTAAAAAAAAAAAAAAAAGAAAATCAAAGTAGTATTAAGCATTCAATTTTTAAAAAATAAACTTAACATTTGCAACAGCGTATAAATTCTAACCCTGTCAGAAATGAATTGGGTAATACCTGGCATTCTGAGAAACATGCTGATTTTAAACCTTTTGACTGTAATTTTGATTATAAAGAGCTAAAAGAAATTGCTCCTGTTTGGAAAAGGTTCAGGTTTAACATCAGTCTCAGTTTTGAGGATGAAAACCTGAGACTGACTGTGAGAGCCGTGGTTAATCTCACTATTAACTCATGTTGAAGATTTAGACTTACTTTTCGCTGCTGTCTTCTTCACGGTCACATTCTTTTTAGTAACTGGGTTTACAGTTTCAGTTTCACCTGGGAAATCAGCAGCAGGAGGGCTTGAAGAAAGTGGTGCCTCATCCTTAGCATCATCAACTTCAAGGTCTGCTACTTCAAATGGAAAACAGTACGCATGAGCAACACAAGAAAAATCATTGAATGCTTTGTCCCTGCCATGAATTCCTGTATGAAACTGATTCTGTATGACTTTTCTAGCATATTTAAAACAGTACTTCTACAACTTTGTTCTAATTTCTGAATACTTCATCAGTAAGAACAGATTTCATTTTTCCCATCTCTAGCGCTGGCCCCTATGCCCTATACCTTCAGAATCAGCACTCTGACATGGGATGTGCGTTTCCCAAACAGCTTAACCTGCTGTGCCACAAAAACCCACCCCACTATGATTACTTTTATCCTAGAAAACATGGAAACTTACTCACACACAAAACTAGATGTAATGAATAATCTCAATATAATGGCTAATAAGAAATCAAATGTAGGGGCTGGTGTTGTGGCAGATTGGGTAAAGCCACCACCTGCAATGCCAGCATCCCATATGGGTGCCAGTTTGCTTCCTAGCTACTTCACTTCTGATCCAGCTCTCTCTGTGCTTATGGCCTGGGAAAAGCAACAGAAGATGGCCCAAGTAATTGGACCCCTGCACCCACATGGGAGGCCTAGAAGAAGCTCCTGGCCCCTGGCTTCAGCCTGGCCCAGTCCTGACTGTTGCGGCCATCTGGAGAGTAAGCCAGCCAATGGAAGATCTCTGTCTCTGTCTCTAATTCTGTCTCAGTAAGCAGAAGTCTCACTATTTTCATTTAAATACATACCTGACATGGCACTTTTCTGTGGCTTCAGTTCTTTCTTAGTGGGTCTACAATAAAAAAAATAACATCCTGACAACCATTTCTAAATGTGTCAAACTACAAAAACTTGTCATGGACTGTTGAAAACAATGATGAAATCCACATTAGATCAGATACTTACTTTGGGGAAGTTTTGGTCTGAGGTGGACTAGCATATGATGGGACAAAATCGTCGTCTTGAGTTTTTTCATCAAAATCTGAGAAATCATCATCTGAATCCAAATCCACTGTGAATTTGGTTTTTGCTGTTAAAAATATACAATAAAAGAAACACTTAGTTCACAGATTGATAAGATATCCTGAATATTTAACTTCATTGTAGTCTCCTAAAAAAATGCTTCAGTTCTTCAGAACTTTACGGCATAGTAACTTCTGGGATTAAGCGCCCTGACATATACTGGCCATTCAAATCTCACAGCACACCAGCAATGCTCTTCAGTTTTCCTTACTTGCTGCTCTCCGTGGCTCTATTTCTCTTGGAGGGACATCAAAATTGCTTTCGTTACTGCTCATATCTGATTCTGAATCAGACCAGGGGTTTCTCTTCTTTGCTTTTTTTATTGGTTTAAATGGCAGTGTAGTTTGCTTCTTTGTCTTGGTACCTAGAGGGAAGATAGAAATTAATCACCTTTATTATATATTCTTTGACTCACTTCTCCATACAACACCCATTGATCCTTCAAATAATTATTGAGCAGTGGTAATACAATGGTGAACAGAAACTGACACAGTCCCTGTTCTTGTGAAATGAAAAGCTTTTCGTTTAATCTCATAAACAATGTGCTTATGTGGACGAGGCTTCTTTAAGAAAGATGTTTGAGATCTGAATGTTAGGTAGGAGTTGACTAGCTGAAGGGAGGAAGAGATAACTTGTACAGAGACCCTCCGGGGAAACAGTGCACTGAGAAAACTGAAAGTCCACAACTAGAAAGCAGAAACGGAGGAGAGTGGTGGTGGAGGATTTTGTGTTAAACGGAGAACCAATATGACCGACCAGGTTTGCATTTTTAACAGTTTTCTCAGGTTGTAGTTTGGAGACTATGCAGAGTCAAGAATATAGAACCAGTGGGAGGTTATTGCTAAAGTCAAAGCAAGGGAGATACTGCAAAGGGAAAAGAATGCCTAGGACCAGACCTTGATGGGCCTTTAAACTGAATATGAAGTTTCAAGTTACTAAGTCATGGTCATTCTGTTCCCCAAACATCTTACACTCATCCTTTGCTTTTTATTTCCCTCATCTTGGCCCACAGAGATAACAAGGGCAGTCTTACTGGCCTGATACAGTCTTCTTCATGGTCTCAGAAGGGAATTTTCCTTCAATACATCTGTGTCATGTTTCCCAGTTGAATATAGTCTTTTTAGTTGTTTCCCTGCAACAGTCTGGTGTTTATTCATTTCCTACTGTTTTTTTTCCCTGTGTATATTATGTGCTCATTTTCCTTCTTCCAATCTGGAATATTTAAGTCCTGACCAATCTTCAAGACTCTAACTCAAGTTTTATCTCTTTCATAAAGGCTTTGTAATGTACATTGGTCCATAGTGATCTCAACCTTTCTCTAAATCCCTACAATGGCTAGTATGAGGAACTTCAAAATTTGTGGGAAAGATAAACTTATTTTGGTACAAAAGTTTGAATTCCATGCATATAAGTATATACTGCTTACCTTTCTTTAAGATTTGTTTATTTGAAAGGCAGAATAATAGACAGAGAGAGAAAAACTCTTGTATCCCCTGTTTTACATGCCAAATACCTGCTCAACAGCTAGGGCTAGGCCAGGCTGAAGTCAATAGCCAGGAAGTCCATCCAGGTCTCCCATGTGGGCAGAGGAACCCAAGTACTTGGGCCATCATCTACTGCCTCCAGCTGCATTAGCAGGAAGCTCTATTGATAGTGCAGAGTAGCTGGGGCTTGAACCAGGCATTCCAATATGTGATGTGTGGGTGTTAAACCTGTTGCACCACAGGGCCTACCCCTAACTTTCTTTCTTGATAAACCTGTTGGTAAATATCATGCTCTTGTATTTCTTGTGCCTCATCACCATGTGATACATTGATTGGAAATGAATGCTCAAAGTACTTTACTCATTGGTCATTTATACTAAATACCAGCTAGGTCTAAAATTAAATGTGTGCTGTTATAAGGCCAGTATATAATGTTGTAGAAAATGGTACCCACAAAATACTTTTATTACTTTTTAAACATATTAAGATGTTTCCATCTGTTTTTTATATTGCTTTTGTCCATAGATCTAGCATATGTTTGATAGCTAATTCTATCAAAAGCAGATACTCAAGGATAGATATACAGATAAATCCATGGAATAGAATTGAGAGTCTAAATAAATCTTCACATTTGTAGTTAAGTTCACTTTTTTTTTTTTTTTAAACAGGCAGAGTGAACAGTGAGAGAGAGAGAGAGAGACAGAGAGAAAGGTCTTCCTTCCTTTGCCGTTGGTTCACCTTCCAATGGCCGCCGTGGCTGGCGCACCGTGCTGATCCAAAGGCAGGAGCCAGGTACTTCTCCTGGTCTCCCATGGGGTGCAGGACCCAAGCACCTGGGCCATCCTCCACTGCACTCTTGGGCCACAGCAGAGAGCTGGCCTAGAAGAGGGGCAATCGGGACAGAATCCGGCGCCCTGGCTGGGACTAGAACCCGGTATGCCAGCGCCGCTAGGCGGAGGATTAGCCTAGTGAGCCGCAGCGCCGGCCTGTTCACTTTTGACAAAGGTGAAGATAATTCAATGGATAAAGAAATCTTTTTATGTGGTACTATCTTAGATGGATATCTACATGCAAAAGAATAAATGTGAATCCCTTGTATCATATAAAAAAACTAATTCAAAGTGGATCACAGACCTTAAGAAAACACAGGAGCAAAAGATTATGACACCAAAAGCATGAGCAACAACAACAACAACAACAAAAAAAACAGGCAAATTGGACTTTAACAAAAAAATATTTCCAAATCATACCTGGTATCTAGAATGTACCTCTTACAACTCAACAAGAAAAACAAGACAAATAACCCAATTAAACAAAGGATCTGAGTAAATATTTCCGCAAAAAGATAAGCAAATAAACATTTTCAAAATCATCAGCAATTATGGGAATGCAAATCCAAACCATACTTTCCACCCACTAGAATGACTAGGATCAAAGAGAAAGATGACCACAAGTGCTGGTGAGGACAGGAAGGAACTGGAAAGTCAGATACTGCTGGGGGAATGTGAAATGGCACAGCTGCTCTGGGAAACAGTCCATCCAACAGTTCCTCAAAAGTCCAAACAGAATAATCATGTAATTCAAAAATTCTAAGTATCTACCCAAAGAAAACAGAAATCCACACATATACCTGTATATGAATATTCAAAGTATCATTACTCGCAGTAGCCAGAAAAGTGGAAGCAACCCAAATACCCATTAACTGATGGACAGATAAGTAATTAATGTTGATGACCTCTAATCTGCAAATTTGAAATTTAGGGACCAGCATCATGGCACAGTGGATTAAGCTGCAACCTCTAGTGCTGGATCCCATGTTGGGGTCCCGGCTGTTCTGCTTCTGATCCAGCTTCCTGCTAACATGCCTGGGAAAGCAGTGGAGGATGGTCCATATTTGGACCCCTGTACCCTCATGGGAGACCTGGATGGAGTCCTTGGATCTTGGCTTTGGCTTGGCTCAGCCATAGCTATTTGGGAAGTGAACCAACAAATAACAGATGGAAGATCTTTCTGTCTCTGCCTCTTTCTGATACCCTTTCAAATAAATAAATCTTTTTTAAAAAATTGAAATTTAAAATGCTTGAGAATCTGAAGGTTTCTGAACACACTCAAAAATTTCAGGTTTCTAGGACTAGGTGTTTCTTTAGCCAAGCAGTTAAGATGCCCACATACTGTAACAGAATATGTGGGTTCTAATCCTGGCTGCAACTCCTAACTCTAGCTTCTTGCCAGTCAGTATAGCCTGAGAGGCAGTGGTGATGGTTCACGTAAACTCTGCCAGGCACATGGGAGGCCTTTGAATTTCTGGCTCCCGGCTTTGGTCCTGGCCCTTGCAGGCATTTGGGTAGTATTTATCTGTCTAATTCTCCTACTGTCTCCCAGACCTTTCTCTCTCTACTTCCGCCTCTCTGTAAGTCTGCCTTTCCAACAAATAAATAAATCTTTAAAACACAAACACACACACACACTTCTAATAAAAAAAGAAAAAAAGTAAAATATTGGTCAAAAAAAGGTAGGAAAAACCTAAAAAAATTAGGTTTTGGAGCATTTCAGATAATAGATACTTAAGCAAAAAAACCTGCAAATATTCCAAAATATGAAAAACTCTGGAATATGAAATACCTCTAGTCCCAAATGTTGCCAGATACTATTTGGCAATCAAAAAAGAAAGAATGGTAGGCTTTAGGCCACTGTGGACCCAGGGAGGTAGTGGCGATAGTGCAGACAGGTACTTCTTGTCACCTAGTGGGAGACTGAGACGGAGTTCTCAGCTCCTAACAGCAGCCCTGGGTAGTGATGGAGTCAACTAGTGAACGGGAGCTCTCTCTCTCTGTAGCTTAAAAAACAAAACTAAACAAAAAAACTGATATATGTTAACACATGGATGACCTTTGTAAACTTGTCAACTGAGTGAAGTCAGTCACAAAAGACCACGTATCATCTGATTTTGTTTCTAGAAAACATCCAGAATAGGTATATCTAGAGTCAGATTTTTTTTAATGGTTGCTTAGTGGGAGAGGGTGTTTTGGGAAATAATGAGTACTGTTAATGGGTACACTGCTTCTTTTTAGGGTAATAAGTTGTTATAAAATTCTTTGGCTCTGCTAAAAAAAAGTGAGTGGTACACCTAAAATGGGTGAAATTGGTATGTGAATCTTTCTTCTCAAAGATTTATATACTAGAATCTTGAAATTGGCCAGTAAGTGACATATCATTGTTTTCTTAGATTCCCAACTAAGGAATTCAAATTACAATGTTAAACTATTTCATTCCAAAATGATCTCTTCTAATATGAATAAAATCCAAAGGTCAATATATAAGGAAAATTCAAGTATACGTCAGACATAGCTTTCCTTCAAGTTAGTAATTCAACTCAACAAAAGCATTTTGAACATTTATGTGCATTTACTAGACAACAAACACAATTTAATCTTAACTTTATACCATTTTCCCTAAATGTTATTTATTATACCTGGTTCTCTTTTCTGTTTCTTCTCTAATCTTTGTTTTAAGTCTTCTAGTTCTGTACCATCTTCCTTAGGGCTTCCTTCAGTATTTTCACTCTAAGATAGTAAAAACCAGTTAAGTTCTGTCACCTTATTATTTAGAATACTATATATCAAATACACACACACACATATATATATATATATTTGCAGAGGAGCTTCACATAGGTCCATGGAAATTTTGCAATATTTTTTTAAAAGACTTTATTTTTATTTTTTGAAAGGCAGAGTTACAGAGAGGCAGAGGCAGAGAGAGAGAGAGAGCTTTGCCATCTGCTGGTTCACTCCCCAAATGGCCATAACGGCTGGAGCTGTACTGATCTGAACCCAGGAGCTAGGAGCTTCTTCTGTGTCTCCCACGAGGGTGCAGGGGCCCAAAGACTTGGGCCATCTTCTACTGCTTTCCCAGGCCATAGCAGGAAGCTGGATCGGAAGTAGAGCAGCTGGGACTCAAACTGGCATCCATATGGGATGCCAGCACTTCAGGCAGTGGCTTTACCTGCTATGCCACAGTACTGGCCCCTGATTTGCAATATTTTAAATTCCATTTTCTAGTTTTTGGAGCTCCTTTATATGACCAAAGGCTATTGTTTACCTTGGGTTTTGGTTAAAAGCTCTGAATAAATGTATAGGTATGAGTTTTTCATGATTCTTAAACATGAAAATAAAAGCAATCATGGGGCAGTGTTTTGTTTAAGATGCTGCTTGGGACACCTTGATTGCATATTGGGAGTGCCTGGTTTGAGTCCTAGCTCCTCCACTTTTGATCCAGCTTCCCGCTAATTAATGTGTACCTTGGGAGGTAGCAAGTGATGGCTCAAGTAGTTGGGTTCCTGTCCACCCATGTGGGAGACTTGAGTTTTGGACTCCCAGCTTCTGGCTTGGCCCCAGCCATTGTGGGCATTTGGGGAGTGAACCAATGGATGGAAGATCTCTGTCTCTGTCTCTCCTTATCTTTCAAATAAATTAAAAATAAAATACAGGTGACCAGTGTTGTGGTGCAAGGAGTTAAACTGCTTACTTGGGACGCTGGTATGCCATGTGAACTGCTTCCAATCCAGTTCCCAGGTAACGTGCCTGGGAAGGCAGTGGAAGATGGCCCAAGTATTCATTCCCTACCACATGTGGGAGACCTGGATGGAGTTCCAGGCTCCTGACTTATGGCCATCTGGGGAGTGAACCAACCGATGGAATCTCTCTCTCTTTCTCTCTGTAACTTTGCCTTTCAAATAAACAAATCAATCTTTAAAAAAAAAAAAAAAAAAAAAGAAACAAAAACAGTTGGGGGGGCCAGTGCTGTGGTGTATTGGGTAAAGCCACCACTGCAGTGCTGGCATTCCATATGGGTGCCGGTTTGAGTCCAGCTGCTCCACTTCTGATCCAGCTCTCTGTGATGGCCTGGGAAAGCAGGAGAGGATGGCCCAAGTGCTTGGGCCCCTGCACCCATGTGGGAGACCTGGAAGAAGATCCTGGATCCTGGCTTCGGATCGACGAAGCTCCAGCTGTTGAAGCCAACTGGGGAGTGAACCTGCGGATGGAAGACCTCTCTCTCTCTGCCTCTCCTTTTCTCTATGTGTAACTCTGACTCTCAAATAAATAAATAAATAAACAAATTAAACACACACACACACACACACACACACACACAGTTGGTTCTTATAAACAACAACCAGGCACAATAAGAAAGGAAAGTTATGGTTTAGATGTATAGTAAATTCTAAACGATGGGGGTTAGAAATTTAATAATATAATTTGTTCAACTTTAAGCAAAAATATACTTAGTTTATATTTAACATTCAAGAGTTTACCTTAATTTTCCTTTTGATTTTCTTTTCTGCTTCTGCCTTCATCTCCGTGGTCACTCGAGGAATGACTCTTTTTCCCCGTGGAGAAGGCAAAACTTCAGCCATTTGTGTTTTTTTCCCTTTTGCTTTCCCCCCTTTCCCAGGAAGTCCTACTTGCTCATCTTGTTTTTCCTTGGCTTCAACAGCCTACCAAAGGGATATAAGTAAGTAAGATTATAAGCTAAGACATCACAATTATCTAAAAGGTATCAGGTTATACTGATTTCAATTTGTTGTATCTTTTTTTTTTTTTTTTTTGACAGGCAGAGTGGACAGGGAGAGAGAGAGACAGAGAGAAAGGTCTTCCTTTGCCGTTGGTTCACCTTCCAACGGCTGCCGCGGCTGGCACACCGCGCTGATCTGAAGGCAGGAGCCAGGTGCTTCTCCTGGTCTCCCATGGGGTGCAGGGCCCAAGCACCTGGGCCATCCTCCACTGCACTCCTGGGCCACAGCAGAGAGCTGGCCTGGAAGAGGGGCAACCGGGACAGAATCTGGTTCCCCGACCAGGACTAGAACCCGGGGTGCTGGCGCCGCTAGGTGGAGGATTAACCTACAGAGCCACGGCGCCGGCCTCAATTTGTTATATCTTAAGATAAATTTGTGGTAATCTGTTTAACAACTAAGAATAACATCAAGCACAGTGGAGATAAGAAGCAGGCATTCAGCCCGGTGGTAAAGAGCCCACGCCCCACACCACGCATGCCTAGGTTTGGTTCCTGACTGCAGCTTGCTGCTAATGCAGAAAGGCCTGCTGATGGCTCAGCTAGTTGGATCCCTGCCACCTGTGTGGGAGAGCTGGGCTGTGCTTCCAGTTCTTGGCTCCAGCCTGGCCCAACCCTAGCCCTTGTAGGCATTTGGGGAATGAACCAGAGAACAGGGACACTCTCTCTATACCAAAAAACCCATACCACAGTAGTAAAGATATGATTAATGGTCACTTTGAAAAGTGTAGGGACCGATTGGATTTTATTCCTGATTCTGCCACTCAACCTTTCTGAGGGTAAAAGGGGGAAACTGAGTTAAGGATAGAACATATACACGTATCTGTAAATGCAAATATAAGAAAGGATGTGATATCAGTAATATGCACTTATCCAGTCCATTGACTACAATGATTTGGTTATTTACACTAAAGCTTATGCATAAACATGTGCATTAAGTTTATAAAACTGTAGCAAAGGATCTTGTGAGGCTGTCTGCCTGGTGAGCCCAGAAGACGAGCTGGCCCTGTCCTCACGCTGACCAGGAGGCCGCAGCTTGTCCCCACGTTCCTGCTGTCTTGCTCTTCTTAGCTGCAGCAGATCCTTCCCTTTATCAAAAACCAACTCCGTCCTTTCCTCTCTCTGTCTAAAAACCGGGTTCCCAGCACATTGACTTTATTTAATAATTTGTTCTCTTATATATTATTTATAATGTGTCCTTATATCCTTTATATTCTTTCTATTGCTAACTGTGTAACTTCTTGTTAAGGGAGTATATTATTAGACTACATGATTTCATTAATAAACATTTTAACATGGGCATTATAAACCACATACCTCCAGTTCTTCAATAAAAGCAGCCAGGTCTTCTTTCCACAAATCCGATGGGCCCTTTCTCTTTAATGTTTCCAGCTCTTGCTCCTTCATAAATAATCAGGAAACTGAGTTAATATATATGTACAAAAATAGATTTTCATGCAGTACACAAGCTTTAGTCTTAATATTAGAGCAAAATTAAGTAATATGCAACATCCATGTCCTATCAACAACTTACTTTTTCGTTTCTTTGTCTGCACAGCTCATCTTTCTTTTCCTTGGTTAGATACCAAAGGGGCATATCAAGCAGGTAGTTGAAGGTTGGCCCAGAATCTGTTACAGAGTCACTTTTTTCAGTTTCCTTTTCAGTGTCACTCTCTTCATTTTCTTCTTCATCTGGGACCTAAAGTATGAATCAAAAGGTAGGTTTAATAAGAAAGGTAAAACATAAACATTATACAAAGTCTTTAATGATATATGAAACCAAGTGCTAAGCAAGAAAGTACCTTTTGCTGGGCTTCTTTCCAGGCCTTCACAGGATCCGAATCATATCCTCTCTGAATCAGAACTTTAATTAATTCTTTCTTAGGCTTATTTTCTATTAAAATATAAACAAAGATAATGAAAAAAGTTTTTCCATGACAGCGGCAGATAATGGTTTTCAGCAATATTTTAGAAAACAGACAAGATTTCACTATGTTGGCTGGCGCCATGGCATAGTAGGTTAAATCTCTGCCTGCAGTGTTGGCATCCCACATGGGTGCCTGTTCAAGTCCCAGCTGCTCTACTTCAGATCCAGCTCCCTGCTAATGGCCTGGGAAAGCTGTAGAAGATGGCCCAAGTGCTTGGGTCCCTGCCACCTACGTGGAAGACCCAAATGAAGCTCTTGGCTCCTGGCTTCTGATCAGATCAGATCAGATCAGCTCTAGCTGTTGTGGCCATTTGGGGAGTGAACCAGCAGATGGAAGACCTCTCTGTCTGTAACTCTGCATCTCAAATACATAAATCTTAAAAAAATTTTTTTTACTACACTAAGCCAAAAGAGTAAAACTGGAAATTAAGCTATATTGTCTTGTATATATTTGCATATCCTGATATAATAGACAAGTCTTCCTAATTCATTGACAAATGGAAATTACCACAAGGGGGCAGTCAAATCACATGAGGTCAAGTTCTAGTAACTTGTAAGATCAGAAGAGAACAAAACCTCTATTTCTGATAAGACTCTATCTCAATTATACCCTTTGGTTTTTATTTTAAAACTTGACCGGGCAAGTTTTAGTACCACCCAACCAAATGCTGATTTCTCTTAACCATGGTTCTCCAGGATGCATTTGCTCCTTTTTTCTATAATACTTCTCTTTCAATGTCTTCTGTAGTCTATTTATTACACTTGAAGGTATACTGGGAGTTACCAGCTAGAGTATGAGTTTTGGAGTACCACCTTTTGTTAGTTAATTTGACATAGATTACAACTTTAGGCCCTCTAATATTCATTTATCAGGAAGACTGGACAGTTGCTAGTATTTCCTGAATTCCAGTCACTGAGTATAAACTTTTTTCTTCAAATCATACTCAGTATTACTCACTTTAGCCATGCCTTAAGCAATAACATCTGTGAAACAAGAGGGCTATAATGCCAGTGTGATTTCTTTAATTATACATGAAAATGAACATATAACTATTAAATATTTTTATTTACCATCATAAAATTAGCCTGTGATGATCAGTCACTTGTGTTAGTATATTTTGAGACTTGCTTGTTGAGACTGTTTTCTTCCTGGTCACTTAAACCCTGACTTTGTTGTTTCTAAATTTTTAAGGCCTTAAAATTTTTAAAATTTGCTTGCATTTATTTGAAAGGCAGAGACGCAGAAATGAAGTGGTTCCCTTCCTAAATGTCCACAACAGCCAGGGCTGGGCCACACTGAAGCCAGGAGCCAAGAAACTCATTCTAGATCTCCCATGTGGGCAGCAGACACCTGAGTACTTGAGCCATCACCAACTGCTTCCCAGGGTGAACATCAGCAGGAAGCTGGAATGGAGAGCTGGAGCTAGGACTTGAACCCAGGTACTCCAGTGTGGGATGTGAGTGTCCCAAGTGGTGTCTTCACTACAGAGTCAAATGCCCTCCCCGGCCGGCGCCGCGCTCACTTGGCTAATACTCCACCGGTTGCTCCTCTTCCAGTCCAGCTCTCTGCTATGGCCTGGGAAGGCAGTGGAGGATGGCCCAAGTCCTTGGGCCCTGCACCCTCATGGGAGACCAGGAGGAAGCACCTGGCTCCTGGTTTCGGATTGGCGCAGCGTGCTGGCCGTAGCAGCCATTTAGGGGGTGAATCAATGGAAGGAAGACCTTTGTCTGGCTCTCTCACTGTCTTAACTCTGCCTGTCAAAAAAAAAAAAAAAAAAAAAAAGGCAAGCCCTCCCCTAGACTCATTTCCTTCCTTCCTTTCTTTTTTTTTTTTTTTTTTGACAGGCAGAGTGGACAGGGAGAGAGAGAGAGACAGAGAGAAAAGAAAGGTCTTCCTTTGCCATTGGTTCAACCTCCAATGGCTGCTGCAGCCGGCGCACTGCGGCAGGCGCACCACTGATCCGAAGGCAGGAGCCAGGTGCTTCTGGTCTCCCATGGGGTGCAGGGCCCAAGTACCTGGGCCAACCTCCACTGCACTCCCGGGCCACAGCAGAGAGCTGGCCTGGAAGAGGGGCAACTGGGACAGAATCTGGTGCCCCAACCGGGACTAGAAGCTGCAGGGCGGAGGATTAGCCTAGTGAGCCGTGGCACAGGCCTAGACTTTCTTTAAACAAACAACACTAACCTCAAGACTTGACTCTTAATAATTTTGGTTACATAATATACTTATAATGTAAGCCATTTGTAAGTTCCTTCCTGATTTCTTTTTTCTATAGACATTATCTCTTCTTTTGATCACCCAATTTACACAAGATAAACTAGCTCCTTATTCTCTTCCTGTCTAAATGTCAACTAAGTTTTGATTTTGCAAGATGCTTAATCTAGGAAAAGCTTGTTCTTTGAAACTGTAAACGCCTATTCAGGTATTTAAAAGAAATGCTTGTATAAGTAACCAGGTGAACCAAATGGATTTTGCCCTCCCTTTATCAATGTTACTTTCACCAAAAATATTTAAAGAAAGTTAGCATAACCACAGTTTTAGTAGAGGCAGTCATTGTTCCAAAAACATACCAATGATTATTTTGCCATCTATTTTCTCTAAGATAAAACGAGCCTGATTGTTCAGTTTAGCAGATTCAGCACCAAGCATTCCTAGAAGCCACTCTTTTCTTAAGCCATAATATTTAAGCCGGAGTTCAAAGAAGTCTTTTAGAATATCCAAGACTGTGTCATATTTCTTTAAACAGCCTACATGGTCAAAAAGCACCTGAAAAAGGAAAAGCCAAGAATAAACTGGATAAACTATATAGAAGTAGCCTAAGATATCCTTTTAAAATTGACATTAGTCTTCAGTATAAATTGAACCATAGATCTCTCTTACAAGACATACCATAGAGTTGCAGGTGAGACTGGTTTGGAGTTTGAAGACTTTGTGTAACCCAACTCTTTCTGCCTCTGCCAGTTTTTCTTCAGTCATCTTCACAACAAACTTCACAGTGGTATCTGTGTGGTATTCCCTGTAGTCTGTTATGAGAGGGGGTGTCTTCTCGGTGCCATTCAACATGGGTTCTAGAACTTGTTCTTTATATGTCTAAAGAAAGAATTAAGCCTTCTGTAAGTTTCTAAAACATAGGCTCCTGAATACTCAACAGTAACAGGACAAAAAGTGTTTCTCCTGTTCTCAAAACTAAAACCAAAATCCAAATCATTACTCACCTGGGTCCACGTTCTGACGGGAAGCTCCGAGATTTCAATGGTTGTGGAATTAAGAATAGCTACTTCACCATTAATAACATACTGATTTGGAGCCAGCTCTTCAATAGTACCCTTGAAGTTCTTGTAACTTGGAAGCTAAAATGGCATTTTAAAAAATAACATGTTTTCTAAATATGATACCAAAGACAGAAATCACAACAGTGAACAATAAAAGTATAAGGTATGAAGTAAATTCTACTTTCCTCCTCTTTAATCACACAGTCTACACAATTGAAGCCCGAGGAAAACTAAGGCTCCTTACAACACAGAATACTTACCATTGGCAATGGTTCTTCTCCATCCATCAAACGTCTGATGTTATTCACAATTTCACGAACATCAAAGTTGGGGATTTTGCAGGACCACCCAGTACCAATTCCTTCAGCACCATTTATCAGCACCATGGGTATAATAGGAATGTACCATTCAGGCTCAACTCGTTGGTTGTCATCATATAAGAATCTTAACGTGTGGTCATCTTTTGGTGGAAATAATAGCCGAGCCAAAGGGCTAAAGAAAACAAAGACTGTTATATTACAAGGCACTGGCTATGAAGGAAGACCTTTCTCTCTGTCTCTCTCTAACTCTGTCAAAAAAAAAAAAAAAAAAAAAAAAAAAAAAAAAAAGACACTGGCTGTGACACTTTCATGGAAAGGACACGTTATCTCATACTTATTTATGCAAATTACCTTGGCTCTGCTTGCTGACTAATATTCATTTAACGGGATTTACTGAGTACTTTCTATATGCCAAGTATTGGGACTCAAAGTCTCAGCTTGCAAGGAGCTCACATTCTAGTATAGGGAGAGAGAAAATGAACACACATTTTGTCAGGTGGTGTGGAACTGCCAAGGGAAAAAACTGAAGTAGAAAGTATGATTAAAGGAGTACTCAGGGAAGGTAAACTCTTTGATAGGATACCATTTGAACATAGAGAAGAAACTGAAAGTGAGCTGAGCCAGGTGGATATCTGGGGAAGGTACTGTAGGCAGAGACAGTTAAGTAAAAGGCCTTGAAGAAGGCATGTGTGGCATGTTTGAGGACAGGCAGAGGCTAGTATCGTTGAAATAGAGATGGTATGAGAAAGGATCAGAAGATATGGGGAGGGGTCCGTGTAGTGTAGCGGGTTAAGCTGCTGCCTGCTATGCCACCATCCCATATGAGTTGCAGGTTGCTCTACTTCCAATCCAGTTCCTTGCTAATGTGTCTGAGAAAACAGAGGAAGATGGCCAAGAGCATGGGCTCCTGTGACCCATATGGGAGACTTGGATGAAGTTCCTGGCTCTTGGCTTTGCTTGGCCTGGCCCAGCCATCACCACTGTGGCCATTTGGGGAATGAACCAACAGATGGAAGACCTCTTTCTCTGTAACTCTGCCTTTCATATAAATAAAATCTATATTTTTAATATTTATTTTATTTATTTGAAAGAGTTACAGAGAGAGGTAGAGATAGAGAGATCTTCCATCTGCTGGCTCATTCCCCAGAGGGCCACAGTGGCCAGAACTGCGCCAATCTGAAGCCAGGAGCCAGGAACCTCCTCCAGGTCTTTCTTCCACACGGGTGGCAGGGGCCCAAGGACTGGGCCATCTTCTACTGGTTTCCCAGGCCATAGCAGAGGGCTAGATCTGAAGAGGAGAAGCTGGAACTAGAATTGGCACCCATATGGGATGCTGGCGCTTCAGGCCAGTGCTTTAATCCACTCCGCCACAGCATCAGCCCCAATAAATAAAATTTTTAAAAGCATATTTAAAAAAAAGATCAACTATAGGATAAAAAAAATACATATGGGGAATTGGGGCACAGAGCTCAGGTCTAATTAGCTAAATAATCTTTAGATTTTACTGTGAACAGTTGAAAGGCTCTGAACTATAGTGGCTTGTTTTTTTAAAAAAATAATTTGCTGTAAGAAAGACTGACAGGTTAAATTACACATTTCAATGCAGATACTATGGAGTTTGCTGATAAATTGGATGCAAGTGTTGGGAGAAAGAATCAAAGTTACAAATACAATAGTTTATAGTTCAGGACACAGATTTGAATATATGAGACTGGATGGGCGATCATTTGAGAAGTGAGTATAGACAGTGAAGAGATCTGATGACGGAGCCTTAGGGCAGGGCAATATCTAGAGGTTGGTAAGATAAAACAGACCCAGTAAGGAAGACTAATAAGGAAGAAAAGAATTATCTATTGTCATAGAGACCAAATAAAGAAGAGTTTTAAGAAAGATGGGAGTGATTAATAACTATGTTGAATGCCACCAAAATGTTGAATGAGAGCTAAAAACTACCTATTCATACTATACTTTCCACAGACTTTTTTTTTTTGACAGGCAGAGTGGACAGTGAGAGAGAGAGACAGAGAGAAAGGTCTTCCTTTGCCGTTGGTTCACCCTCCAATGGCCACCGCGGCCAGCGCGCTGCGGCCGGCGCACCACGCTGATCCGATGGCAGGAGCCAGGAGCCAGGTGCTTTTCCTGGTCTCCCATGGGGTGCAGGGCCCAAGCACCTGGGTCATCCTCCACTGCACTCCCTGGCCACAGCAGAGAGCTGGCCTGGAAGAGGGGCAACCGGGACAGAATCCGGCGCCCCGACCGGGATTAGAACCCGGTGTGCCGGCGCCGCTAGACAGAGGATTAGCCTAGTGAGCCGCGGCGCCGGCCACTTTCCACAGACTTATAAAGGAAGTAAATTTCAAAGTCATTTTGATTCAGACCCAAACTCTATACCAGAGTTTTATGACCCTTGTAATATTGACATTTTGGGCTGGATAATTCTTTATTTTTGTTTATTGGAAAGGTGGAGCAACAGAGACAGAGATAGAGGGAGAACTTCCATCTATTTCATTTTTCAAATTGCCACAACAGGCACAGCTGGGCCAGGCCAAGCCAGGAGACAGGAATTCATCCATGTCTTCCATATGGTGCAGTGACCCACATACTTGAGCCATCACCTGCTGCCGCCCAGGGTGTACATTAGCAGGAAGCTGGATTGGAAGGAGAGGTGGGACTTGATTCTAGGTACTCTGACATGGGTTGTGAATGTCCCAGGCAGTGACTTAACTGCTGCAGCACAACACCTGCTCCAGCTGGAGAACTCTTTGTGAGGCTATCCTGTGTATTATAAAATATTTATAATAGCGTCCCTAGCCTCTATTCACTAGATAACAGTATTTTCTAATTAATTTTTGTATTTTAGCCTCATATTGCTTCAAAACTAGAAATAGCAATCTACTATAAGTTTGAAAGTATACCCACCTAAGCATGGTGAAGATGTATCGAGGACTAGCAGAATCCTTGCCACCATGCAGCCTGGTACCAAACTGACCAATGGGCTGTAAGAGGTTCAGGTTATTGCTACCCACAAAATTCTGAGCCAAATTGATAATGGTCATCATCAGCGACATCTAGGGGGAAAAAGATTCATTAATATCACTTGTAGGCTCTTAATAATATACATCCATTATTATAACTAAGTTCCACTATAATTCTGTAAGGTTTTATGAAGTTTAGATGTTTCCCAGATAAACAGATGGCAGAAGTAGTACCTAAATTCAAGACTTTTGGTTCCAAGTTCAGGGCTCTGTCTATGGCCATACTACTCTGAACGCACCAATCTTGTCTGACCTCATAAGTTCAGGGCTCTTGCCTTCAACAATTTCTATCTATTAAGTTCTCTTAATTTTGAAGTTCCTCTCCCTTTATAAAAGTTTCTTAGCAAACTGAAAATTTCCACTTTTGTGTTAAAATACTGCTTATTTGTATTCTAGCATGTATCATTTTATCCTACAATTATAAGTGTGTGTTGGCCATCTGGCTAAACTGTGATTCTACTTTGGAGGTAGAGAACATAGTTATCCTGTGTATGCTGTATAAAGTAGACACTCAACAAATGTTTATTGGGTGAATATTTACTGAGTCTTCACTACATTTTGATTTTTTTTTTTTTTTTTTTTTTTGACAGGCAGAGTGGACAGTGAGAGAGAGACAGAGAGAGAAAGGTCTTCCTTTGCCGTTGGTTCACCCTCCAATGGCCGCCGCTGCAGCCGGCGCACCGCGCTGATCCTGGCAGGAGCCAGGAGCCAGGTGCTTTTCCTGGTCTCCCATGGGGTGCAGGGCCCAAGCACCTGGGCCATCCTCCACTGCACTCCCTGGCCATAGCAGAGAGCTGGCCTGGAAGAGGGGCGACCGGGACAGAATCCGGCGCCCCAACCGGGACTAGAACCCGGTGTGCCGGCGCCGCAAGGTGGAGGATTAGCCTATTGAGCCACGGCGCCGGCTACTACATTTTGATTTAAAGCAACAAGATAATCATTATATTTCCAGAAAATTAAAGGAAGCCTAATTTTCTAAAATTGTTTCATATAATAAATGCAAAAAAAGCAATTCAATAACAAAATACAAAAAAAGAATAAAGGGAAATGTAGTCATAAGATTCAGATGTATATAAAGTTGCCCTTTCCAATTTCTAGGGACAAAGAAAATTAACAATTTGGTGTTAAACCTGCTAGACACTTTGCTGTAAGAATTCTTTGGCCTTGGGGGCTGGCATTGTGGTACAGCAGGTTAAGCTGCTGACTGTGATGACAGCATCCTATATAGCTATCAGTTCCTATCCAGGCTGCTGCACTTCCAATCCAGCTCCCTACTAATGCACCTGGGAAAGCAGCAGAAGATGGTGCAAATACTTGGGCCCCTGCACCCATGTGGGAGACCCAGATGAGTTTCAGGATTCTGGCTTCAGCCTGGCTTAGCCTGGGCCATTGTGGCCGTTTGGGGAGTGAATTACAGAATGGATGATCTCTCTCTCTGTGTAACTCTTTCTTTCAAATGAGTAAGTAAATATTTTTTTCTTAAAAAAAGTGGGGAGGCAGTGCTGTGGTGCAGCAGGTTAAACCCCTGGCTTGCAGCACTGGCATCCCATATGGGTGCTGGTTCGAGTCCTGGTTGCTCTACTTCTGATCCTCTCTGCTATGGCCTGGGAAAGCAGTAGAAGATGGCCCAAGTGCTTGGGCCCCTGCACCCTCGTGGGAGACCCCGAGGAAACTCCTGGCTCCTGATCAGCTCAGCTCTGGCCGTTGCAGCCATTGGGAGTGAACCAGCAGAAAGAAGACCTCTCTTTCTCTCTGGCTCCACCTCTCTCTGTAACTCTGAACTCTTTCAAATAAATAAATATTAAAAAAAAAAAAAAAAAAAGAAGAAAGAATTCTGCCTCTATTTTCCTATCTGACATACCATGGTGATTCTTCAGTGTTTGTTTGTTTGTTTGTTTTTTAATTTATTTGACAGAGTTAGACAGTGAGAGAGAGAGACAGAGAGAAAGGTCTTCCTTCCGTTGGTTCACCCTCCAAACGCCAATCCAAAGCCAGGAGCCAGGTGCTTCCTCCTGGTCTCCCATGTGGGTGCAGGGCCCAAGCACTTGGGCCATCCTCCACTGCCCTCCCGGGCCATAGCAGAGAGCTGGACTGGAAGAAGAGCAACCAGGACTAGAACCCGGCGCCCATATGGGATGCTAGCGCCACAGGCGGAGGATTAACCAAGAGAGCTATGGTGCCGGCCCCTCTTCAGTGTTAGTGCATACATTTTTACTTAAGTTATATCATAGATTCCATGCCTGCATATGTCACATTTTAATATAATAATTTGCCAGTCAATGAATATTTTGGATGTCAAATTTTCACCTAACCAAGTTATAATATGCATCATTAAATATCTTTGAACACCTTGCATATTTATGAATATCCTTGTAGGAATATTATTTCTATAGAAATACAATGGTTAGATCAAAGGCAAGCACATTTTATAGCTTGATAGATTTTACCAAATTGTTCTCTATTATGGATATACCATCTTACATTTCTGCCAAACATGTTTGGAGAATGATTTTGCAGATTTCTGCTGTAATGCTTTTTGGAAATATGGATTGTCTGTTTACCTCACCATGATGGTAAGAAGACATTTCTGCCACTGACCCAGCTAACTGGGCAACCTTCACTTCTCGCTTGTCATTCCGTTTGAAACAAGTAAACAAAACCTTTCTCTGCCCTGGTTTCAAACCTGTAAAATGAAGACAGGCAAATAGTTAGCCATTTCTGGGCACTGATTTCTACTTTACAATAAAATTATACCAACAAATTGGAACTCACCATCTACCATTGACGGGATAGATCTCTCATTATCAGAATTTGAGAAGAGGATAAGTTCTTTGTTTATGAAGTCATTGTATGTCAGATATGTGGTGGTTTGCCCATATAAGTAATCCTGAGGGATCAAAGAGGGTAAGTATTACATGATTTAGTTAAAAAAAAAAAAAAAATCACTGGTCTTAATAAGACACAGAAATAAAATATAAATTATGTGGAAGTATTTATGTTTTAAAAATTAAAAACAAATTTAATTGTTGCACAATTAGAAAAAAAATGCATCACCTTTGTAATTTCTTTCAGGCCTCATACATTCACCCAGCAGTTGAAATAAGAAAATTTACATAGTTATTATATTAAATTTTTACTGAAATAAGTATTCAGTAAGTGTAATTTGCTATAGTATCAATCCTAAAAGCTCTATCAAATAGTGCATTTCGTGGAATATATTTAAAATTGTTACCTCAGGAAGGCCAAGTAACTTTCGTTGTCTTCTATCCTCCATGAAATGAGTTAACCATTCTTTTCGATCATCTATTTGCTTTTTGCTAAAGGCCTACAAATTAGAAAAGGAAAAATATGTCAGTGGCACTAACAGGTTCTAAAATCTTTCTCTCATAAAAACAACCAACCAAGAACAAAAATCCTGTTATCTAAAATAAACTGGGTCCTTCTATGGAATATACTTACTAGAAATATTCTATTTTACAAAACACTCACATAAAAACTTACATGTTGATTGAATAGTTACAGCAGTGCTTTCTAAAATTAGAATATATATATGTGTGTGTGTGTGTGTGTGTGTGTGTATATATATATATATATATATATATATAAAAATTACAACTCAGACTCACCAGGCTGATTGCAGCATCATCTTCAGGACCAGAATATTTGAATTGGATACGATGTCTCTTCATATCTGCAAAGTATTCTTTAGCTTCCTTTGATGTGCTAGTGCCCAAACCTATGAAATGAAGAACACCCATATAAATATTGTACAATGGTATATAACAAAATGAGAATTTCTATATGGTTTCAATACAAACCTTTGTAATACTTGACTTTCCACTTTTTATGATTTGGAGTAGAACTCTTCCATTCTTCAAATTCGGGAAGGCTATAGAATGCCATTTCTTGCTTGTTTCTCGAAACCTGTGAGGAAGTGCACATTGCTGTGGCTTTGCATTCTGTGGAGTCCCTTGCATACCACCTCACATCACTGGGGTTGTGTATACATCAGGTTTGAGAAAAAGGACCTTAAAATATTCACTCTGGTATCGCAGAAATTAGCATACCTTTACAATTGGAGTGATAAATTCTTCCAGAAAACGATGTCGCAGAAGCGAAGGCCAGTTGTGATGGATAAAATTAATCAGCAAGCCTTTGATATGGGAACCATCTTGGTCCTAGAAATATTTGGAAAGATAAAGTACAAAAGGATTATTTTGAAACTAAGCAAAATTATAATTGAACTACTGGCAATTTCTCAAAAAACCTTCTATGGGAATAACTTAAAACAAACGATTTAAAAAAGAGCTATTCAAATTCAGACTCATTTAATCTATATATTTAGTATATAGGCACAAGACACAAGATTAGAAATTTATTAGAGATAATGAATAAAGCTACTTAAATAACTTATTATTATGGCAGGAAAGCAATGTAACAATAAGATACGCTTAATTATGTTTAACAATCTAAACTACTTAATAACAAATCTGACCTGATCTGTCATAATCATTATCTTCCCATAACGAAGAGTCTTTAATGAATCTTCATCTTCATAGTTTTTCTTGTACTGAAGACCCACAATCTTGATAATATTGTTAATTTCAGCATTTTCCATAATCTGAAATAGACATATGTCCCCCCCAAATAATAATTTTTATAAATTTGAAAAGAACAAAGAATTATAACAGTATGTATTGCTTGGGTTTTTTTGAGCTTCAATATTTTGAATTATAGGCATTAGCCTATAATTCAATAAGTCAGAAAGATCTATTAGGGTATGCTACAATGTACACAATTTTTTTTTTTTTTTGGACAGGCAGAGTGGACAGTGAGAGAGACAGAGAGAAAGGTCTTCCTTTGCCGTTGGTTCACCCTCCAATGGCCACTGCAGCCGGCACACTGCGCTGATCCGATGGCAGGAGCCAGGTGCTTCTCCTGGTCTCCCATGGGGTGCAGGGCCCAAGTACTTGGGCCATCCTCCACTGCACTCCCTGGCCACAGCAGAGAGCTGGCCTGGAAGAGGGGCAACCGAGACAGAATCGGTGCCCCGACCAGGACTAGAACCCGGTGTGCCGGCACCGCAAGGCGGAGGATTAGCCTAGTGAGCTGCGGCGCCAATGTACCCAATTTTTAAAAATAATTATCTAAAATATATTTCAAAATGCCCAATGAGGGAGTAAAATACAAGCATGAAATCCTCATTATAAACTAGATTTAGATTATAGAAATAGTTTTATATTTTACCTGTTTATGAGAAGCTTCTCGAACATTGAGTATTTTTCCTCTAAGAGGGAAAACCCCGTATTTGTCTCTTCCAACCACACCAAGCCCTGAAACAGCTAAAGTCTTGGCTGAGTCTCCCTCAGTCAGGATAAGTGTACATTCAGCAGAGTTTCGGCTCCCTGAAATAAAAACACACAAATTATTATAATCACATTTAATTCAATCTCAAATATACTAACTTGGACATGTTATTAATAGACTTTGGATAAAACACAAATAATTTACAGCATACAAGTTGGCTTAGGAGTAAAGCGGTGCCAGTAAATAGAGAGATATTTTAACTAAAGTTCATCAAAAAATTAAAAATATGGAGCTAAGTTTTTGACCTAATGGTTAAAACACCTATGCGGGGACAGTAATCCTCCGCCTGCATCGCCGGTATCCCATACGGGCACTGGTTCTAGTCCTGGCTGCTCCTCCTATTCCAATCTGGTTCTCTGCTAGCCTGGAGAGCAGAAGATGGCCTAAACCCTTGGGTCCCTGCACCCGCGTGGGAAACCTGGAAGAAGCTCGTGGCTTCAGATTAGCACAGCTCTGACTATTGAGGCCAACTGGGGAGTGAACCAGTGGATGGAAAACCTCTCTCTCTCTGCCTCTCTCGCTCTCTCTCTCTCTCTCTCTCTGTGTAACTTTGACTTTTAAATAAAATAAATTAATTTAAAAAAATTGTACACTGTTCAGAGTGGCATAATGAAATTTTTAACCATTCCACTCTATCCTGCCTGGTGCATGATTCATCCTCTTGTCTAATGTAGCTATGCTATGTATGCTAATAACCAGGTTATCAGATGGATATTTGGAGTATACTGTGGTGCTTGTGGTCAAGTAACCTTTTCCTGGTAGCCTAACTACAATGCCCACAGCATTCACCTCATTTCATCTCACATATGCCCTGTATCATCTAATACCTTCACAAGAAGAATGACTACAATAAGTACAAGAAGATATTTTGAGAAAAGGCCCACATTCACATAACTTTTATTATAGCATATTGTTATAACTACATGCTATTACTGCTCATCTCTTACTGTGCCTAATATATAAATTAAGATTTATCATAGTATGGATGTATAGGAAAAAATAGTATATATAGGGTTTGAGACCACCCATGGTTTCAGGCATCCAATAGGGGTCTTGGAACATATCCCCCAAAGATAAGTAATGATACTTACATTGTTTCTATACATTCATGTTTTTTTAAATGTCCTCTTTTCAAAATTTTTTTTATTTTTATTTATTTGAAAGGCAGAGCAGGAGAGAGAGAGATAGAGAGGGAGGGGGGAAGTAGAAGGGAGAAAGGGAGACAGAGATATCTTCCATCCACCAGGCAAGGGTTCACTCCTCAAATACCCACAGTAACCAGAGCTGGGCCAAGCTGAAGCTGTCAGCCTGGAACTCCATCTACATCACCCATGTGAGTGGAAGGGATTCAGTAATTGAGTCATCAGCTGCTGCCTCCCCAGCGCAGTAGCAGGAAGCTGGATCTGAAGCAGAGTAGCTAGCTGGAACTCAAACAGTGCACTCTCATATCAGATATAGGAGACTCAAGTGGCAGCTTAACCCATTGCACAACAATTGTCCATCCTAAGCATTCATTCAATCGTATTTATTAATAATATTTGTTAGGCAATGGGCTTACTATATAAAATTCTTGCTTTATACTACAAAATAATCATCAATATTATTTAAAATAGCTTACATTTGGAAATGATCTAAATGTTCAGTGAGAGGGAATTGGTTGATTTTTAACAAAATTATTCTATTCATGGGAAAAACACCTATGGCATGTTGTTAATGTATAAAACAACCAAACTCCAAGATTTACAGTGTAGAAACATCTGAAATGAATACCTGCATCATTGGCATCATCAAGTTTGGGAATTCCCTTGATTCTGTTATGCTTTACAGCTGAACACTTCTTGTTTAACTGGACTTGGGCCTTAAACTTCACCCAGTTCAGTATGCTTTCTACAATACCACAGCCAATTGCCTGAGAAAAGATTCACAATAGGGATGAAGAGTTGTGTTAGAAATCTAGAATATAAGTAAGGCCCTATAACAATAAAAGTAATGCAAAGGCTAAAAAGAAGCAGAACAGTTTCTGATAGAAGGCGTGTCAGACAATCAGCGTTAAGGGAGCTGGTTCCTTTGGCTCATTCATTCAATAAACATTTACTGTGTACCTGCATGGTGCTAAGTACTGAGTACTGGTTGGGGCTATAGTGGTTAAAACAAAGTAGACACGGTCCTTGCCTAGACTTTAAGACAAAACAAGGAAGCCAGAAATAAAATATTACACGTGTGATGAATGTCATGATTAGGTAAAGTTTACCAAATAATGTAACTTAGTTGGGGGGTGGGGGGAAGTAGACTTTTCCTGAGTAGAAGTCATCAAAAGATTTCAAAAGAAAGGGGCCAGTGCTATGGCACGGTTAACACCCTGGCCTGAAGAACTGGCATCCCATATGGGCGCCGGTTCTAGTCCCGGCTGCTCCTCTTCCGATCCAGCTCTCTGCTGTGGCTTGGGATGGCAGTAGAGGATGGCCCAGCTCCTTGGGCCCGTGCACCCAGGTGGGAGACCCGGAAAAAGCTCCTGGCTCCTGGCTTCAGATCGGTGCAGCTCTGGCCGTTGTAGCCATCTTGGAGAGTGAACCAGAGGATGGAAGACCTCTCTCTGTAACTGTTTTTCAAGTAAATAAAATAAATCTTCAAAAAAAAAAAAAAAAAAAAAAAAAAGATTTCAAAAGAACATAAAGACAAAAATGTGTGCTTTTTTTTTTTTTTTTTGACAGGCAGAGTGGACAGTGAGAGAGAGAGAGAAAGGTCTTCCTTTGCCGTTGGTTCACCCTCCAATGGCCGCCGCTGCAGCCGGCGCACCGCGCTGATCCTGGCAGGAGCCAGGAGCCAGGTGCTTTTCCTGGTCTCCCATGGGGTGCAGGGCCCAAGCACCTGGGCCATCCTCCACTGCACTCCCTGGCGATAGCAGAGGGCTGGCCTGGAAGAGGGGCAACCGGGACAGAATCCGGCGCCCCGACCGGGACTAGAACCCGGTGTGCCGGCGCCGCAAGGTGGAGGATTAGCCTATTGAGCCACGGCGCCGGCTCAAAAATGTGTGCTTTTATAACACAAAATAATCACCCGAGAGAGGTGGGCTTTGTGGTGCAGGTTAGGCTGGTACTTGCGATGCTCACATTTTAGATCATAGTGCCAGTCTGAGTCCTGGCTGCTCAGCTTCCAACTAATGCTTTCTGGGAGGTAGCAGATGATGGTTCATGTGCGCTTGGGCCCCTGCCACTCATGTTGGAAACCTGGATGGAGTACTGGGCTCTTGGCTTTGTCCTGGCCTAACCCTGGCAGTTTTGGGCATTTGGGGAAGTGCTCTAGTGGACAGAAGATCTCTTTCAGGCAGACGACAATAATTATCACTCAAGAACATTGCAGAGAAAAGACTGAAAAGGAATGAAGGTTAACTAAGAATCTGTTATAGTAATCCAGAAGAGAGAACGGTAGGAGGCCACTAAAGTATCCGAGACATGATTCTTGTCATTGAGGTTTTTTTTTTTTTTTTTTTGACAGGCAGAGTGGACAGTGAGAGAGAGAGACAGAGAGAAAGGTCTTCCTTTGCTGTTGGTTCACCCTCCAATGACCGCCGCGGCCGGCGCACCGCGCTGAACCGATGGCAGGAGCCAGGTACTTATCCTGGTCTCCCATGGGGTGCAGGGCCCAAGCACTTGGTCCATCCTCCACTGCACTCCCTGGCCACAGCAGAGAGCTGGCCTGGAAGAGGGGCAACCGGGACAGAATCTGGCGCCCCGACCGGGACTAGAACCTGGTGTGCCGGTGCCGCTAGGCGGAGGATTAGCCTAGTGAGCCGCAGCGCCGGCCCTTTAAAAAAAAAAAAAAAAGATGTATTTATTTATTTGAAAGCAGAACTACATAGAGAAATCGTCCATCCATTGGTTCACTCCCCAAATGGTAGCAACAGCCAGGGCTGGGCCAGGTGGAAGCCAGGAGCCTGGAACTCCAACCAAGTCTCCCACATGGGTGGCAGGGGCCCAAACACTTGGGTCATCTTCCACTATGTTTCCATGTGCATCAGCAGGGAGCTGGATTGAAGTAGAACAGCCAGGGCTGGAACCAGTGTTCATATGAGATGCTGGCATTGCTGATGGTGGCTTAACCCACTGCTGCCACAATTACAGCTGCTCGTTGGGGCTTTTAAAATAAGATAGGAAGTAGTTTTGTTTGCTAGGTAGTAGGGAGTTCCGTGCATGGGGAATAGTGAGTTTGGAGAGAACGAATTCAATTTTAGATGTATTGATTAAGAGTAATATTAAGCATTTAAGTGAAGGTACTTGGTAAGCAGATTAATTAGAAAGTGATACGAATTGAATGGTGTTAGGTAATTGGGAAGTATAGGCATGTAGATGGTAATTAAAGCCTTGGTAAAACCAGTGAAGTAAAAGCTATTTTTTTAACTTTCTTTTCAGACTGAGATTTGGCAATGATCTGTGTGGGAAGAATCTTTGTTTCTGCAGAGCTGAAAAGAGCAATGGAAAAAAAAAAAAAGTAAGGTGCTTCTATTTTTATTTTCCTCTAAGTACTCACAGCTTTGATGAATTTTTCACTCAACTGGCATGTTGATCCAAAGCTCTTGGCTTGTAAAGTCATGTTTTCTTTTGTCTGAGAGTCAAAGGTTGGGTTTTCAATTAAGGCGTTCACAAAAATCCACATGTGATTTTTCACCTGCAATAAAAGTTGATATAAAGCCAGTAAAAATATATTCATGTTTTATTTACAGTCTTTTTCTTTTCCCTTGACTTTAGAAAAAGAAAATTGCTAAAATATCATACCTGATGTGCTTTTACTGCAACACCACCCTTGTTCTTCTTCTTTACAACATCAACAAGTTTAGCCACAATCTGATCAGCTACATAATCAACATGTCTGCCACCCTAATGAAGAAATAACCAAATTGTTTAAAACTCAGTATACTCAAAATCATAATAATCAAACATTTAAAAATAATCTAATTTAGCTTCCTTTATATCAAGGTAGCCAGATGGTCAAATCCATTTTTTATATTAAAAACAATAAGAACACTTCTAAAATTACCTTGGAGGTGGCAATGCTGTTGACAAAGCTAATTTGCTGAAAGCCTTTTTCACTCATTGTTAAACATACTTCCCATCTGTGGTTTACTTGCTCATGTATTACTTTCAGTGGGTTACCAGTTTCATCTACCTTATCCTTCAAATACATATCCACATAACTACGGAATCCTTTCACCTGAGTGGGAATTAAAGGTAATAAAGTTAGTAAAAGTGGAATAAATAATAGTCTATGAGGATTTTTTTAAAACTAATGAAACAATGTTCACTTATGGGCATAAGAGAATGGTCATTAAAGAAGGGTACAAAAGTATTTTAGGTGTCTCTTTGAGGAAAAAATTCCTTCTGTTAGCTTTAAATGAGCTGATTTTAAAAATGTGATATACCACTTTCTTTTTAGGAACAAATATTGAAAATGGTAAGAAAACCATATGGGAGAAAAAACACCAAAATTTGCACTTGACAATGATCAAAGTCCCTTAACACCTAGGAACACACTTACTGGCAGCTTATTTCCATTAAGGAAGACTTTGACATCTTTAGTGGACCCAGCAATATCATATGCTCTTCTAACCATCAGTGCAACAATATCTTTGTCCAGGCTTTGCATTTTAAACTTAGACAAATCAGGCTGAAAGGTGATACATGTATAATCTTCTCCACTAAAGGACTTGAGCTCCATCTCACCAGCTCTCCCCATGTTATCCATCCAAGTCTATGAAATAGAGAATAGAAAAAATGAAAAACCCGTCATCTCAAAAACAAGCTAACACAATATATGAGTCCTGGAAAATAACTCAATAATTTTCCATGGTTTAATAGCTTATAACTTAAGTTAAATGAACTACATTAGTATAAATGGTAAAATTATAGTTCATAACCAAAGCACACAATTACTATTTACTTACCTGTTTGAACATTTTTTTATATTCTCTACTGGCTGTTTCCACAGTAAATTTGGTACTGAATATGTTACACAATTTGGCTCCATAGCCATTTCGACCACCTAGGCAAAATATAAAACACCATTTTATTGTTATTATCTCATTGACAATTTTATTTTATTTTTTTTTAAAAAGATGTACTTATTTACTTGAAAGGCATAGTTACAGACAGAAGAGGGAGAGAGAGAGAGAGAGAAAGAAAGGTCTTGCATCAGTTGGTTCACTCCCCAAATGGCCATGATTGCTGGAGCTGGACAGATCCAAAGTCAGAAGCTTCTTCCGGGTCTGTCATATGGGTGCAGGGGTCTAAGCACTTGGACCATCTTCCACTGCTTTCCCAGGCTCCTGGCTTCAGATCGGCACAACTCTGGCCATTGCGGCCAATTGGGGAGTGAACCAGCAGATGGAAAGACCCCCCCGCCACCCCACCTCTCCTCTCTCTCTGTAACTCTGACTTTCAAATAAATATTTAAAAAATAAAAAAAATTTTAAAAAAGGTATTTTCAGCAATAAATATCTCAATGTTCTACCTGTTACTTTCTTTTCATCATCATCATAGTTACTGGACGTTAGGAGCTGTCCAAATATGAGAGCTGGGACATACATCTTCTCAACTTTGTGTTCAACAACAGGAATACCTTTTCCATTATTCCATATGCTAATTAAATTATTTTCTCTAGGCAAAGAAGGTTGAAAACTTTATTGTAAAGCAAATGTTACACTAATACTTAACATTTTAAAGTATTTAAATAATATTATTTCTAAAATAGATAAATTCATAAGTCCAATTTTTCTGACTCTTTTCATGTATAATACTTTCTGAAATTCATCATGAACAACATTTTCTACCATGCTTATTTCCCAATACTCCTAAAATAGGAGCAACGAGGAAAAAATATCTTTTCCAACCACTGAGGGAGCCACTGATAATGCTGAAATACTATTTGATTTAAAAATGTTAGGATAAACAAAGGGAAAAGATTTATGCCCAGTGGAAAGAAAAGAACAGACTTGGAAATAGTACCATCATGCCCCTTTTAAGAGGATCAGCTGTGCCTCTCTAGTTCCCTTAACTTTCTCACCCAACAAAGCACATCCCAAAACAAATATAAAAGGGAAAAACATTATAAACATTATCAATAATAAAGTAGTTTGCTCACTAATAAAATGCTGACAATTCATTTGGACTCATTTACTTGCTGATTATTTTAGGCTAATTTTTAGAAAATATATTTTGGTTATAACTGGATACATGCTACAGTTTTTATTTCAAACACTACTTAACCTTATCTATAAACAAAACTGATTAAAACTAGCTCAGTATTTTTTGAAAGACTATGATATTGAGTCCTTACTTAGGAGTTTGTCATTTATATACTCCCCAAAAGAGCCATAAGTAGTTTATGTCATAACTGAGCAGGCTAATAAAAAGGTGACACAAACACTGTGACCATCCATAAAGGACAGTGACATTTATAACCAGAAATGGTATATCAGAACATTCTCTACTCCCATCTGCTGGTTTATTATTTGAATAACACCAAGAGAAAAAACTAAGACTATATAATACTCAGAGCAATTACAGATGCCTGCTGAAGTAGTTCTGCACTGTGCCATGTCTTTACTTTGAAATGACTCAGAAAAAAAAAAATAGATGCAGCAGACATGGAAAAACGTTGACAACTGGTGGGTTTATTTAGTGGGTATCACAGGTTGTTCATTTTAGCATTCTGCCTTTCTGTACTTTTGTAAATCTTTGTTTAAACGAAATTCAACTTCATTGGTAACCAAAGTAAATGCAACCAACAACAACCCAATGAACTATAAGAAACAAAAGAACCAAGCAAGAGACATACGGATCAATGGTGACTCTAATGCAAGACATTTTGGGGTCCCTTTGTTTATTGTCCGCAGCATTAACTGAAAGAAAAGTAAAATACATATTTGTAAGAAATTGAAGTGTTTTAAAGAATTCCTTTATAGAAAAAAAATTTCCCAAACAGCACAGGAGTAGCATTAACAAAATGTTAATTTAGCAATTTTTATTCTTAGTGCTGTTTTAGGAAACAGTTTTCTGAGTTTCAGTAGACTGCCTCACTTCTGCCACTTGTGCGAAATGACAGGAGCTCTGACTACAGAGGGTTTGGAAAGCGCGATGCTCCCTATGAAGGATTTGACCAGTAGATCTTTAAAGCATTCACCACTCACCTAGAATCTCGTCAAAGATTTTGTACAAACCAGGAACAAAAGTGACTTCCCTGTAGTTAATACCAACATCTTCATCGTAAACCCACATGTGCTAGAAATAAGGCAAAGACATAGTTATTTCTCTTCTGTACTTGTTTCGTCATCATGGTTACTGTAAAATCTTCTAGGTTTTAGATATAGTAGTTTAGGCCAGTTCCAATGACACCTCGTACATGAAATATGAAAAAGCTAACTTAGAAAAGTATAACATTTCAATCGATAAATCAACTGCATTTAGGTAGCTTAGTTTTACCTGGGTCACTAATTCTACAGAGCCAATGTAGGTATCGGGGCGGAGCAAAATATGTTCCAACTGCGTTTTCTTTTGATAGATTCTTTCAATAGACAGTCTCTTCTTCGCATCTTCATTTTTCTTTATTTTGTTCATTTGCATATTTTCATTGACAGGCTAGCAATTTTAAAAAAGAAAAGGGCTCTTTACTCACAGGTTTATAGGAAACTACGAAAAAGTGTCTACCACAGCGATGCACTTCACTTTGCAATCTGTTGTCTGCTGTTGGTGGCGTTTAGAGCAAACAGGGCAATTTCAAGTTCAGTGCAGCCAGCCTCCCGGGCGACAGATTAAATGGACATCACATTATCTCAGCACCTGTCGATGCTGCGGACACCTGTTCCTTGGACGACTTTGGATGTCACCCGCACACGAAGCTACTGCGTGCCCGCCATGTCCTAGGCACGGAAGCGTCTAGGCAGTTTGGGGGCTATCAACCCAACCCACTGGCCCCGGGAGGAGGCTCTCTGGGCCAGCCGGGCCGGCCGGCTCCTCGCCGGCAGCCCTGGGCCAGGCTCTGCACCCTCCGAGTCGGGCGACCTCCATCCCGCGTCCACGCAGAGAGCAGGAGGGAAGCACCTGACGCGCCACTTCGAGTCCCGCACGGACCGGCGCAGAGGCCGACCAGAGGGCGAACTGTTCCCAGAAACAGTAAAACGACATACAACGCCCTGAAGCCGTTCAGCCGATGAGTCACTGCTAGCGCCGTGAGGGGCTTCACTCTCCTCGCGATCACCCCGGCCGCGGAATATGGACGCCCGGCCGGTCGCGGGCCAGACTACAGCCCAGGAGCCTCACCCCCTCACGGGCAGCCAGAGAGACGCCCCGGCCGCACCGAGGCTCCACCCTCCGGCCCCTTCCTCGAGCGGTACCTGCAGTGGTGACACCTCCATGGTGACGGCCGTAAAGGGGCTCGAGAACCCTAAAAGCGACTAAACCGGTGGGACCCACGAGACGATCGGAGACCGAGCCGCTACTCCACAGACGCGCGTCGGTTGGAAGTCCCCTAGACTCATTTGAACCAGCCTCTAGCCCGCCCAAAACAGACGAGCCAATCCCCAACTTGTTCTCATTGACACCCTCCTGAAGAACCAATCGTGGCTGACTTTTTATATCCTCCTTTGGACGGCCAAGGAGGCCGGGCCTGTTCGAATGAACCAATTAGGCAGGGGAGGCGGGTCTAGAGGGTTAGCAGAGGCACTCTGGGAGTCTGAACTGAGAGATTGAAAAGGAATCTGACCAATGATGAGCGTTGGTTTGTTCTCTCCTGGCTGAAAACCCTGAGGAGCGGAGCCGAAGAAGCGGGAAGGGGTTTCCTGTACTGCCTGCTGGCTTATGAGGAAGAGGAGGGAGATATTTATTCCTCAGGCGATGTTAACCTATGTCAGAACCCTGAAATAAAGTAGTTAGCGAGCGAACGGCAATTTCTGTGTTTTCCTGGGGGAAACTGAGCCCCGGCTTTCCGGACAGGCAGTTCGGGCCATCCGGTTAAGATTTTATGGCGTCTGCCTCAACCTGACGCCTTCACGGCATCCCTCCATCTCCGCTCCCCCCAAGGATTTAGTTTCCAAATACGAAAAAGTTCCACAGTTGTGGGTTTGGGGCGTTGAGAGGCCATGCGCGATAGAGGGCGGCGGTCACGCTCCCAGCAGGGCCGTGTGGATCCGCCGCCGGCGCATCCACAGCGCTCCGAGCGGAGCGGGGCTTGGGGCCGCCAGGGACCCCGCGCCCTCCTCGGGGGGTGGTGCTTGTTACTCTCGCCCTCGTCCTGTGGGTGTTTGAGTGGATTTTTTTTCTCCCCGCGCCTCAGCACAGTTCAGCGCGTTTGGGGAAACAGCACAGCGGGAATGGCTGCTGATTGCGGCTGAGCCCCCTCCTTCCGTCCACCTACGTTTCAGCCCCAGCTCAGCGGTTTGCCAGCTGTGTCATCTTGAGGGAGGAAGCTTCCCGAAGCTTCCGTTTCTTCCCTGGTAGCTTCTGCCCAGCCAAAGGCTAACCAGGCCCTGGGCTCCAGGGCCAGCGTCCAGTCTCGAAGTTTCCCCAGACGCAGGCTGGCCCTGTCAATCACGCTGCCTTCTTCCTCCTGGAACGCAGAGCCTGCCCAAGGCTGGCAGTTGGCCCCTACAGCTCCCAGCCCTCACCCTGTGGTTCACCCAAGCATGCAGGACCCCGCCTCGACCTATCTGAGATAAGGCAGTTCCAACCCTCTGTTCTGTCCCCCGGCCTTAAATCTCACCTGTCGCTTGGCCTTATCCTGACTGTATGGATCTCTGTCCCCAAAACCCAGAAGCAGAGCCATGGAGTCTAAAGGATTTTGGACTCCCACATCCCTGAGGCTCGGTTTGTTTCCTGAGGTCGTTGTCCTTTATCAAGGCCACAGAGGGCTCACTGAGATGTGGAAGCACCTAGGACCATCCTTCTCCCACCCTGTGGCACAGGGTGACCTTACCCTGGCCTCGGCCTTTGCCTTCTCTTCTGGGCACAAGCTGTTTTCTGCTTGGCCTGACCCCTTCACACAGCCATCACTGAAGAAGGAAGTACTCTGGACAGATGGGTCTGAGTGGCACAGAACATAAAAGAGAACACCTGGAGCCTGCCAGCCACTAATCTGCTAAGCAAAATGGGTTGGGCCTCAATTCCTGAGGGCTGTGGTGTGGGAGGGGGAAGCTGTGGTCCTCATTACAGCCTTCCCTCACTCAGCAGGGGTCCAAACTGGAACTTACCCTCAGCCCTACCCCAACCATGTGTAGGGGGGTGGTTGGTGAGTACTTGCCACGTATATGACCTTGAGCAAGTCACTGAGTCTCATTGTGTCTCCATTTCTTTTTTTTTTTTTTTTTTTTTTGACAGGCAGAGTGGACAGTGAGAGAGAGAGACAGAGAGAAAGGTCTTCCTTTGCCGTTGGTTCACCCTCCAATGGCCGCCGCGGCTGGCGCGCTGCGGCCAGCGCACCGCGCTGATCCGATGGCAGGAGCCAGGAGCCAGGTGCTTTTCCTGGTCTCCCATGGGGTGCAGGGCCCAAGCACCTGGGCCATCCTCCACTGCACTCCCTGGCCACAGCAGAGGGCTGGCCTGGAAGAGGGGCAACCGGGACAGAATCCGGCACCCCAACCGGGACTAGAACCCGGTGTGCCGGCGCCGCAAGGCGGAGGATTAGCCTAGTGAGCCGCGGCGCCGGCTGTGTCTCCATTTCTTCATCTCAATGGGGATGGGCCAAAAGAAAAAAGAAACGGGGATGGGGTTTGCATTACGACGCTGGCTGGAATGCCTGCATTCCATATTAGACTCCCTGGGTTCAATTCTTGGATTGCAATGTCTTGCTAATGCACATCCTAGAAGGCAGCAGTGATGGCTGAAGTAGCTGGGCCCCTGCCGCTCATGTGGGAGACCTGGATTGACTTCCCAGCTATTGGTGGGCACTTAGGAGTGAACCAGGAGATGGTAGCTCTGTCTGTCTGTCTCTTTCTCTCTGCCTCTCCAGTAAATCAATAACACATTTAAAATGGTGATAATGGGGAGTACCTCCTTCTCTTTATAGACTAGTGAGATAACAGGTGACGTGCTGGTTTGGTGTATTGCCTTGGCAAAGAGCAAGTGGTCAAACCATATTGACAATGATTACTTCTGCTCCCTTGCAGGACTTTCCTCCCCTTGTCAGTGTCAAAGCCACTTCAAAATTCAAGGCTCTGAGAAGCTTATCTGTTTAACTGAAGCTCCATCAAGTCTTTTGGAGCATATTAGCATATGCAGATAATTTCTTTTAATAAGTATTCTTTGGTTGGTTTCTCTGGGGGTTTTGTGTGTTTCAGATTCCCCACTCAGGGAGGGGACCGTGCAGACAGCGGCCAGACTGAAAGCGAGGCTCTGGATTTGGGGTTTGGAACAGGCTAGACTAGAGCCCACTGGGAGTTCTTGGATGAGGCCGGGCCAGTGCCAGGGTACTCAGGTGGTTAAGGCTGAGCCAAGAGGCTCTGTTTGTTTTGAGGTTGACAAGTGGTGGTGGGTTCTGGTCAGGTTTTTTTTTTTTTTTTTTTTTTTTTTGGCCAGGGATACCAGCCTTGGGTTGGAGGAAAACCCAGAGTGTCCCACAAAGTTCAGTGTCTAGGTAATTCCTGGCAAACAAACCTGGAGGGCTCAGACAGAGGTAGGAGGAGGGTAAGAGAGGTTCTGGAGAGGAGCAGCTAGGCCCAGAGATTAGTTCCCAAATCTCTCAGATGTTTCCCTCAGCAGAATCTATCAAAATTTCAAACATGTACACACTTTTAAACTCAGCAATTTAACTTCTAAGAATACTGGATGCAGTTCACCAATTGTACAAACAACAGGGTTATTGGTAATATTGTTTTTATTTATTGAACATTGAATTGTCAGCTTCATTTTTATTTGAAATGCAATTAAAGACAGAGACAAACATCTTCCATTTGCTGGTTCCCTCCCCAAATTCCCCACCACAGTGAGGGATGGGCCAGGCAGAAGCCAGGAACCTGGAACTCAGTCCTGCTATCTAATTGGATGGCAGGGACCCAAGTACTTGAGCCATCATCTGCCGCCTCCCAGCGTGCATGTTATCTGGAAGCTAGAATCAAAGGCATAGCCAGGACTCAAACCCAGGCACTCTGATAGGGGATACAAGGGTCCCAAGTACCATCTTAACTGCTGCATCTTATGCCCACCCCCAAGAAATATATTGTTTTTAATAGAAAAGAACTAGTAGCAATCTAATAGAATAATCAGCTATTAAAGAGAATAAAGTTAGTCTAAGTATACTGATATGGAAATATCACTAAGATGTATTAAGTTAAAAAAATGAGATGAAGGGTAGTGTGTAAATTATAATTACATTGGGTTAAATAAAATTATATATAATTTAGGAGCAGGCATTGTGGCTTCCCTCTGTCTGATTCATTTTCCTGCTAATGTGCCTGGGAAGGCAGCAGATGATGTCCCAAGTGCTTAGGTTCTTGCCAATCATGTGGGGGACTAGGTTGGAATTCTTGGTTCTTGGCTTCAGCCTGGCCCAGACCTGGCTGTTGTGGTCATTTAGGGAGTGAACCAGTGGCTAGCAGATCTTTCTCTCTCTTTGTCTCTCCCTTTCTCTGTGTCATTCTGCCTTTCAAACAAACAAATCAATAATCTTTAAAAAGTATATCTAATCTATCTATCTATGCATTGAAAACATCTAGAAGGAATTGCAAATAGGTAGAAGGGGAGGAAGACTCACTGTTTAAATTTATTTGTTTATTTGAAAGACAGAGTTACAGAGAAAAGGAGAAACAGAGTGAGCTTCCATTCTCTGGTTCACTCCCCAAATAGCTGCAATGGCTGGGACTATGCCAGGTCGAATCCAGGAACCTGGGACTCCATCCTGGTCTCCCACATGGGTGGCAGGGGCCCAAGCAATTGGGCCATTTTCCAGTGCTTTCCCAGGTGCATTGGCAGGGCGCTGGATCAGAAGTGGAACAACTGGGATGTGAACTGGTGCTCATACAGGATGCTGGCATTGCAGGGGGAAGCCTAACCACTGCACTGCGATGCTGGCCCCAGACTCACCTTTCCTATTTTCCCTTCTTTTTTTTTTTTTTTTTGACAGGCAGAGTAGATAGTGAGAGAGAGAGACAGAGAGAAAGGTCTTCCATTTGCCATTGGTTCACCCTCCAATGGCTGCCGCGGTCGGTGCGCTGCGGCCGGCGCACCGCGCTGATCCGATGGCAGGAGCCAGGTACTTATCCTGGTCTCCCATGGGGTGCAGGGCCCAAGCACTTGGGCCATCCTCCACTGCCTTCCTGGGCCACAGCAGAGAGCTGGCCTGGAAGAGGGGCAACTGGGACAGAATCCGGCGCCCCGACCGGGACTAGAACCCGGTGTGCCGGCGCCGCAAGGTGGAGGATTAGCCTAGTGAGCCACGGCGCCGGCCTCCTATTTTCCCTTCTATCCTAATCTAAAAATTTAAAACCATGGGCACATGTTATTTTTGTAATGTAAAAAAATTAGCTTAAATAAGCAAAGTTCAAAAGTTTTCCTTCTGAGGGGCCAGCATTGTGGCACAGGAGGAGTGGCACTAAGGGCAACTCATTCACTTGAATAAAACGGAAGGCTACATCCTTTTGTTTATGATTGAAGAAAGTCACAGTGCGTTCCAAAGATCTGCCATGAAGCACTGTTTACATGTTGTTGTTTTTGAGAGGCTGTCTTTTTTTTTTTTTTAA